AGTCTTAGTCTTTCTTATTTAGATTACAAACAAAACAGGCATAAAACAAATACCGTTATTTTACTTACCTGTTATTTGAGTTTCTGTTGCATCTAAATAAAAATGTTCTTTAACATAATTTGGAATGTTAATTTACATAGATTAACCATGATGAATTACAATTGTGATTCCTTAGATTAACCATTATTATTCCACTAATATTTTGGATTGATTGCTAGCCCAAATTTTAAAACATACGTTAAAATGATAGACGTTTTCATCACTGGAACAAATTCTCAAGGTTACCCAACTAATTAAAGTGTGTGGTTACTTTTAATAATAGAAGGTAAACAGAAGGCAACATCTGGACATTTTTTTATCCAGGAATTCTTAATGGAAAAGTAAATGTGATCTGTGGCCTCCATTAGAGCAGGTTGACCTCATTTCCTCTGGTTTTGATTTCTGTGCCACTAGAGTGACTCCTCACTCACCCTCTGTCTGACCTGACCAACCTCTCAGTCACCATCTAAAACCAATTACAACAGATACCAGAGTAGCAGTTATGTAGACTTTACCACTTCGTTACCCTTAATTATAAAAGGAAAAAATGAATGAACAAATAAATGTGTTCATGTTAATGTTAAATTGTGCACTGTACGTATTATACTAAGGTTCTATTCCGTGTCCTTATGTTGCAGATGTTTAATTGTTCAGACTGTCTCTCCCTCTGTCATCAGTGCTGCAGCATTGACGACAGCATTAGTAACAGACTGGTGAATGGATATTTGATGAAGGGTCAAAGTTCCACTGTTGATTGAAGATCCTTTAGGTCCAACACTCAGGAGAACCCTCTGATCTTTATCTCCACCAATGATTGGCAATTATTCTGAACCAGTGCCTCTGCAACATCCGTCTTCATTAGGTAATAATGAGTAACTTGTTCGATTTACACTGCGAGCCCCACATGAGCAAACCGGAAATGACACACAACATACGCAATAAATCCAGAGGGCAGAATCTCAAACCTCAAGCATTGTATTTAGGTTTGAACAGTAGGGTGCTCAGAAAAGCCATTTGACATTATATAATTATATATATATTTAATATATGTAACTGTATATGTACATATATAAGAATACCAAAGTATAGTATAACAAAGTATAACAAATGACAAAAGACCAAAAAATAAATGATCCCAATACAGTTCAATATACAACTTTGAAGAAACTAAAATAAGCATGGCGGAGCACACACGGACAATAAATAACCCTGTTTTCATGTACAAAAGTTAGGGTGACCACAGAGAAGGAATGGTCTAAGAATGAAGTTAAAAACAAAACATATAGTGTGAATTCTAAAAGAAGCTTAAATGATTTGATCTCAAGTTAATAGGCAGAGTTTGAAGAAATGTTTTCTTAACCGATTACTAGAAAAATAATAATGATGACCCACATATAAAAAAGCATTTTGGCACACGTGAACCGGCCCACACAAAGCATAGGTGAATTACAGGTCTTTTATGACCAACATCAGGTTTACACATGTAAAGTTTATGCCAAAATGAATCAAAGTTGTGATTTTGTTCTACTCCAGGAAACAGACAGACTTCGACAACTTCATTGGGATAACAGGCCACATTAGCCAGCAGTTACTTAAACCTGGTACTAAAAAAAAATACAAATCTTGTCCTAGAGCGGACCAAATAACTGCAAATAACTGAAATCAGGGCCAAAATATTGTGTTGAAAAAAAGAAAACTGCGTGACTTACATCTAGTATCCACAATATCAGCCAGTGCTCAGCTATTCTGAAACAAACCTGTGGGGTCCAATGTTGAATGTTTACCACATGGTTTTGTCTTAGTATTATCTGGTCTTCACTTTGTATACAAGGTATATGAAATTTTACATTTGTCTTAAAAAGAAAAGCAGTATTTAATAGAATTTAATATGTTTGGATAAATAACTAAAAGCCAGTTCTACACTAATCTGCTTTCTTATTTTCATAGTCTTAAGTCTTTCTCATACTTTAAAACTGACGTGTTACTCTGAAATATTTCCACCCACGCAGTTTCTCTTCACAACACATTGTTAGTACAGCTGACAGTACAGAAAGCAGAACAATTGCAATGAATTCAATAGCCACTAGGGGTAGGGTGGATGGGGTGTGAAAGTGAATTATTTGTCATAGTGACATGAATGGCACATGAAGGGCACCAACCTAAGACGACCTTGTGCCAAAACAAACATTCAGAAAAACAAAATAAGTTCCATACTGGATTTGTGTCACTGCAGAAAAGGAGAGGAGCGAGGTACGTTAGGAGGTTAGAAGGTAGAAAAGTGGCAGACCTGGTGGACAGAGGGAGACCAAGTAGAAACTCAGCCATTGGGACCAAGTTATTAGTAGGGATGGTTCAAAATATCAGGATAAAAAAACAACAATTATAGTACATCTATATCTGACACCTAAGCCCAAACACTCAACTTAACTTTGAGTGACCTGCCATAAACAGGAACACAACATCGCCTCAGCAACAAAAGCCCTCATAGTTATTGGTTGCTCCTCACACATGGACCACGCTGACGGTCTACATTGGTCCCACACACCAACGCTGGCAAAGAATTTCGTAAACGACTACACTTATTCTGCACAAACGAAGTTACAGGACAAATGCTAATGTGTCTATGTCACTCTTGATTCGCAACAAAAATGACAACAATCTATTACGTTAATTTGGGTTAGTTTTAATCACTGACATATGGACACCATCATCATGTAACTGGAATTTCCAAAAACAAAAGCCCGCTGCTGTTCTAGGTGATTCTCTCCACATTCCACTTCTTTAGCAGTAGAGTTTTTGTTAAAGCTTAATCACAGTTTGATGACACGGTATGAAACGCCATTAGGGAAATAATGTGCCATTGATGAAACTCATGGAAAATTCCAGAAGGATTGTCATTCCAGGCCAAAGTGACACTGCATGTCCATTTTCACCCGTTAACTGATGTGTTCACGGTATAGTTGGCAATAATGTGCGTCTTTTACAAAGATGCAACATTCGGAATAGCAAAAGTAAAAAATAAATTACGTCACAACAACGTAGATCACAACAGGATGTTCTGACTGAATGATAAGATTTGAAATGTTACTTTTTAGGATAGTGTAAAAGGTGCAGATGGTTATTTTTAAAGGAATTGATTTTTCATATTGAACTAATCTGCACATGTGAAATAGCTGGCATGGATTTGGTAGTGGATCAGGACAAAAAAGGTCTGACTGTTGATTTTCTTGGTGTATGTTGAATACGACAGATATGACATGTGGAGCAATAAGAATGCCGCCAACATGAATGAATTCTTTGACTTTATGTTTCAAAATTCACACGAGTTTGAAGGATGAGCGCAAAAGCATTTAGTTCTGTATAAAATGATGGAACCATGACATGTTTGAACACAACACCTTCCAAGTCAGACAGAAAGTTCTCCAACAGTTGTCAGTACCGTCAGAGTCTGAGGTGTTGGATTCAGAGGGCCTTCATCCAGTTTTAAGTCCTCCACTGACAGAAGGTGTGGATGAACGTTCTGGAAACCCCGTCTATTCCTAATTTTTGAATTTGGGGGAAAACAAAGAGGAAATACAACAGAGGCACTTTTTTCTGTCTCCAATAATCACAAATCAGTGTTGGCACAGTGTCGTGTGAGTTGCTTTGCTTGTCGCTGTTAAACTGTAAAGAGATGTTTACATTCACCAAAAACAGGCACACACAAATTAGAGCATTATCATTTAAGCACAGCAAGGGTTAAAATACACATTTAGAGAATTCCTACTCCATTACATAAAATATGTAGTGTGTAAGAACTGAAATCAATGATGGACCTAACTAGGAGTGCACTCAATGTTGATTTGGAGTAAAACGAGAGCAGAAATGTTGAAGAATGCTGGGGAAAAGGATGACCACTCATCTGACCAGGTTCAACAGGAGCCTCAGAAAAAAGGCCTCACCTGGAGAGACCTACCACTACCTCATACAAACCCAAAGCTAACAAAATTAAGACCCTAAAAAACCTTTCACAGAACTTGTCATTTTGTACATTTAAAAGCGTTGCTTTTGGTGCAAATTGTGCATGAAGAGTTCAAACAATCTACACGGTCACTAAAGCAGCCTGCCTGAAAACTCTAAAGTATTTCAGTCTGATTGTGCTCCGTGTGTAAACCCAGGTAACGAGGGGAGTGTTAGTGTGTTAGTTTGATTATGGACAAACGTAGGGTGAATTTCAACACTAAGTGAAAAGGGTGTCCATACTGAGGCCTCCTCCACATTTAGATTATTTTTGCTTTTATTCAGGATTTCCTTCATTGGTTTAGTTCCTGTCCACTCCAACGCCCTAGAGCTTGGGGTTTTATGTAGTGTCCAAGGACACACTGATTGTCCAATTGCGCCGTTACAAAACTCTGAAAGTTTAAAAGGTGAACCACAGCATTCTGGCTTGTGGAAGAAAAACAACATTGTCCACCATTGTTAAGAATCCTGACAACATTCTTCTGTCAACTCAAAGTTTAGGACTCCATGTTTGACATCAACAATCCTCATGCATCTGGTACTTTGAATGTCCAAACTTTTACACAACTGAATGTATACAGAGCATTGGCCAAACCTGATAGCTCATTTCTGGCACTTTTTTGGAACAAGCTAATTCCCCATCTGTCTGATTCTCTGTTGGACAAGACTGATGGTTTGGTCTGTTTGTATTCTGACAGTTCCCCATATCCATGTCCAATTTCAATGTCGGTCATTTTAGCCAATATGGTGCAAATATAGATTAGAATGTTGGAGATATTGGTCTGCAACTATGAAGACAAGTTTACATTTGGTAATCGGAATGTTGAACACGTTGCTTTTTTTGAAATGTTTACATTTCCAATTTTGTGTAGATAAAAGTTTACTTTAGATTTTTTCTAACCACGTGGAAATGTGGATCAAAAACAGTAACACTACTGGCCTGCAGAGGGCAAATTAGGAAAAAACTCTAGGTCTTGCTGGCTTCCTTTAACATGTGACCAACATTTCTCACTGAGAATTCTGTCAATATCGTTGGTCAACAATTGGGTCTCTTAACCAGTTCCACATCATCCACATTCAAGTGATAAACATTTAATATTCAGAAAGATGTTAGCGATCAAAAAAGTCATATTTTAAGGTGTAGTAACCTGTCAATCAAGCTACGTTAGCTCCAACCACATTAGTCACTGTGTTAACGGGACAAAGTCAATGTCTGGTTTAAAAAATGAAAAAAAAAAACAAAATTGAACAGTCACCAACTTTGGGGTCAAAATGATTGTAGTCGGGAGTTTGGGGTACTTACTCTAAAAACATATATATTAAAAATCCTTAAAAATTAGAATAGTTTAAATCACAGCATTAAAAAGTCTTAATCTCGGGGTTCTATCCTGAAGCAATCAGTCAATATTTTTACCTGAGCTGCTGGAGTTGAAATTAGGGCTCGCATCAGAATCACTGTATCACTGACATTTGTCATCACGACAGCAATATAAAGGCTGGCTGTCAATTTCCACATCACTGAAAAGAAAAATGACAAATATCTGGTCGTAGTTCGAGCCTCAGTTTGGACACAGTCAGTTTTAAAAACTAGTGAAAGTAACATCACATCCATCATCAGCGTTTGAATAAACAGGTAACATTCGTCCGCATGTGGGGAAATCACATGGATGGCAAAAAAAAACAAACAAAAAAAAAAAAACATGAACCTATTAAAAACAAAGGTCATACAGCAAAGAAATGCAGTCATATAATCTAGAAGAATAACAAAGTGTGTCTGTAGACAAAAATAATTATATGCAATGTACATTTGGATACATAGTGAAAAGAACTGAGGACTTGTATTGTTACTCAGAACAAGCGTTTATCAGAATTGGTCAACAGCGCCGCGGTCACTTACAGAGTGTAAAATAAATCTCCTGGCATGAACATTTTCTATGTGGGGCAAGAAAAAAAATGAAATGTAAAAACTACTTTACAAATGGTGTTTGAGAAATGTGTAGATTAGAATGGTTTTTACTGAGCTACTTTTAGGGCCCAGGCTGCGCTAGGCTAGGCTAACAACTGAGACTGTTCTCCCTACTGGTGTGACTTTATATGGAGGTACTGACACAGTGTGTGCACCCACAGACAACTCCACTGCTTTTTAGTTTAAATTTCTAAACTTAAACTAAATTTTAGTAAAATACGACCAGTGTGTTGGTAATTTTGCTACATATATAAGAGCTAAGCTAATTAGAGCTACATGTTGAAGTCTATGACTTCTAAGGGATTGTTTCATGGCTGTGTGTGAACTGTTAAAACAGTCTTTATCAACTGGAAACATGGAGAGAGAGAAACAGGGACGAGAGCTGCTGGGTCATTGCTGCCTTGTTTGGTAGGTTTATGCAAATGTAATTTATAAAATGAAATGAAATGAATGAATGAAAATGTTCACCATTTGAGCGGCTATTAATTAAGAAGTAATTGTTTCCTAATGTTCAACATTTGAGCAGCTATTAATTAAGAAGTAATTGTTTCCTTGATTTAAAAGGCAAAGTCTAGACTTTTGTATGGGTTAGTTTACAAACTTTAGTCTCCAGTAGAAAAAGACCAGTCAACGGTGTGTTCTAAAAATATCTTAATAACTTAATTAGGAATACATTTTTAATATGTTATCCTTTTATTATGTTACTTGGAAATGTAGTGTCTACAACTGAGTGTCATGTCGCAGGCAAGGTGCTCAACATGTGTCAGTACCAAAAGTACTTCTCAAATTTTTTCCCCATTCTGTTTGATTCAGATGTGTGTGTGTGTGTGTGTGTGTGTGTGTAGACTTTGATACTCCTTGGTCTGAGTTATTCTTCAGCATGGCTCAGGCAGTGTGTGTTTGTGTGTGTAGATATTACAGGTCCCACCCAAAAATGCAGCAAAACTCAAAACCGTCTCAGAAAAAAAAAACCCAAAAACAACGTATTAGGATGCAACACAGTAAGGTCTATATACATATAAAGACGAGTGGTGGAAATATAGGGGCTGTATAGACAAGAACAAATATTACAAAATTTTCAAAAAGGCATCTTAGTTATTTTCTGTGTCCCATTGCGCTGCCCTGCTCTTTCTGCTGGACCGGGGGACCTGTTCCCTTTTCCTTGTTTCAGTTCATGCCATCCACTCTCCAGGTCCTTAAGTCTAAATCCATCTGATGGAAAAATATGCAGTTTTTGTTTTCATGGTAATGTGTGAGTGAGTCGGTTTGTGAATGAGTGTATGCTGGATGTTTATTTGTTCACTCATAATCCATTCATCCATCCACTCCAGGCCCCTACTTGAAGTTGGCATAGTCAGAAAAGGCATCGATGTACTCCTGGACGACTTTGTAGCAGAACTCGTACTGTTCCTGAGGGAGAACAACAGAGAACAGGGAGAATTATGTTCTGTAGCTCAACTCAAAGGCAGCATATTGGTTTATGATTCAACTGTGATAACAAGTCCAGAAGGAAAAGTTCTTACTAGTGTCTGCACCATGTGGGGTCTCTGCAGTCTAAGGCTCTTGACCGTCTGGAAGACGTCCAGAATGCCTTCTGCCTTCACCCTTTCCAGGACTGTACTCAGTGCACAGAAGGTTCCTGTTCGTCCAGCACCAGCGCTAAAAATACACACAGTGAAAAGAACACATGCGTTTTTTATTACGCTCAATGCAGTGACCATGTGCACAGTTACAGTTGGCTGAAATGTGACAGGCCGACAGTTCCCTCAGGGAGCAGGCTAAATGTTAGAAGGAAGACAAAAAAGTCCTCCGTGCTGTTCCTTTGAATTCCTAAGGAGGGCACCGTTAGCTATAAATATGCTCATTCTTTTGTACAAAAACCCTTTTGTTAACAATAATAATAAGATGTAGACAGAGTGAGGAAAATTATGTCTTTGCCCAAACCTTACAAGCCAGTCCTGTGGACTTTCTGTGAGTGGGTCACTGGTATTTAAAAAAGGAAGGAAATAATGGAAATATCAGTTCCTACTCTGTGAGGAAACACTCAGATCAGGGGACGCCCCTGATCTGGCATCCAGGTCTATTTTTAAAAAGCTCTTAAAGACCCAGCTTTTCAGAGAGCGCCTCCTGTCCTAGCACTTCCGTTCTCCTTCTACATTAGTCTCCACTTGAACACTCTCACCCTCTGGAAACCACTTTCCTAGCTAGTGGTCTCCTTTCAAGAGTTCCTCTCTGTTGACTGTTAAATGCATGAATGTTTTAAACACACCTACAAACTACAAATACAAGAACTTCAAAAAAACTCTTATAAAATGTCTCCATTGCTCACCTGCAGTGTACAGTGATGGGGTGATTGCCCGACTGTTGCTGTTGTTTCTGCACCGCAGCAATTATATTGATCATGCCCTTTCCATCAGTGGGGATCCCCACCTCTGGCCAACCATGGAAATGAAACTGACGGACAGCTCGAGCCTTGTTCTCCTGGGAGCAGGGAGGATATATTTATATATATATGTTGTTTCGAGTACATATTTGACCTTGCACTTTAAAAGTAAGAATGCATTAAAGATGCATTTGTTTCCTGTCTCACCCTGTTGTTAGTGACCAGGAGATCACGCACTGTGTAGCTTTCACTTTCCTCCTCCCTTTTCAGCTCAATGGAGATGTCGCCGTAGACCACCACTCCATCCCCGGGCCAGTACTGAGCACATTTCTCCTGGAATCAGAATCAGTAAATGACTGATGAATCATTTGTTGTGAGGTGTGTAAGGACATTTTTTTGTAAACACAACAGAATGCCTGTTTTCAAGAGAAATGACTGTAGAAGAAAATGAGTCATCAGTTAGAACAATAAGAAGGGGAATTCTCACCAGATCCTTCAGGTGTACTAAAAATAATGGCCTGTGAATTCCATTGAATTCCAAATGAACGATTGATCAAATACAATATTTGATGCGATTTTAAAAATTCTGGAGATATAAATATAAGACTTAAAAAGTTGCACGGCACACACAGACAGCACACACACAAACCTGTCCTCTCTCCTCCAGTTCAGTGAGCATAACAATGGAGCAGCTCCTCCACTCCCAGATCATTCTCCAGAAGTCTTCGATGGTGTGCTGTAAGGGACCCTGGCTCGCCATGTACGAGTCCTTCTGACGGTAGCCCTACATGGAGTAAAGGCAGGAAAATTACAACTACCCTGGAAGTACCAGCGAGGGATGGTGTGAACGAATCAGCACTTTATTTACACTCACATCGATAAAGGAGGCGTTGACGTAGTCTGTGTTTTCCTCTCCTCGTTTGACTGGAATGATCACCCTGTTGAACTCATCTGTCACAGTGATCAACAAACCAGGATATATTATATTAAGTAATTGAAGTTTTATTGTTTATCAAACCTTCTGACTGTGATACTAAAGACAGTGGCATTTAAACAGAATGATTCTATTTGGTTTACTCATGCATTTGAAGTCAGAGAATAAAGGTAAAACTAAGGTCACTAATATAAGCTAGGAAAGATTAGAGAAAACAGAAACACAGGTGATTTTGATGGACGGTTATAAAATGTTTGAAAAGTTAGAATGAGATCAGAAATAGGTTAAAGCAATGAGTAATTGGTAGCTGTGAGCTGAAAAACTATTTTCAGCTTAGAGTAAAAAAAATGTAGAAAAAAAGGGTTTGTCAAAACATTCAACACAAACATTAAGAAAAGCAGTTAAATGATTACAATGGAAAAGATTCGCATTTCACAACCATCACAAAGTTGTGGTGGAATTTTCTTAATATGCATTTCAAAGTTCACTCACATGGAATGATCTGAAGAACCCTGTTCTTCTTCATGTTGGCTGGAAGGTTTCCTGTTCTCATCTTGTCATTTTGGATCTTGATGGATGTTAGTTTCTAGCAGAAACATGATTTAAGCTTTAGTTTGTTTATAATAAATACATACTTTTTATTTTAAAGTATTTATTTAAAATATAATTACATAAGTTACAATCTGAAACAGAAATAAAAAAAATCTAAAAGAAACCTTAAATTCTGCATCCAGACCGCTGCAGCCAGCTCCAGGTAAAGGAGTGTAAAGTTTGGCCAGGTGAGACTCCAGAGAGGTCACCTCCAGCTCTGTGTCTCCATACAGGTAGTGCTCCAACAACGCCTGGAATATGAAGACGTACTGCATCTGTGGGGAAAAAAAACAAAACATATTTCATATTATCACTGATGTATATGCAGCCTACACCTGGACACAAAAACACCTCAGCTCCACTTACATCAGTCTGGACCATCTGACAGCGCTGTGCTCTGATCCGAGTGACGAAACCAAACACGTCTACCTTCCTCTCTGCGAGCATCATGTCCACCATGGCATCAATCACAATGAAAGTACCTGTTCTGCCCACCCCCGCACTGACAGAGACAGAGACAAAAACCACTAAGGTAAGTTCTGTAAGTGTGGCAAGGACTCAAAAGTCAGAGTACAGATGGTGCACCACTTACCTGCAATGGACTACAATAGGCCCAGCGTACTGGGGGTTAAAGGTTTTGACCTTTTTGAGAAACTTGAGCATTCCAATGGGAGTGAAGGGCACCCCAAAGTCTGGCCAACTGGTAAAATGAAACTGGGTGACCAGTCTCTGAGGCTTTTTACCAGACACGTCTCCAACCTGGAGAAAAAATAAACTCTGGGTAAGAGACAAATCATCGAGGAGTTCCTCCAAGGACAAAACAATAACTCAATATAGATTTTTTTTTATTTTTGAAAGGATTGTGCTTTCACAGAAATACATGAAAACAAAACATTGGCAATTTATAAAAAATGCCAACTTTTGTTCTAGTTCCTTCCTCAACTGAGAAACGGAACATCTTTCAAGCTCCAAGAAGAAGTCCAGTTGTTAATCAACTAAACTCTTTGGACTTTGTTGTAGTTGTAATTTATGTTGAACAAACGCTCTGAAGCATCAGAGACACACAAAATGACCCGACAGGTCACATTTGGCCCGAGGGCCTTAAGTTGGACTAACTATGGGCTTCAAAGCTTGAGATAAAACAATAACAAACGTCCATCTCTAAGAGTCTTAATGTGGTACCTGCTGGATGCAGAACTTTCGTATGGTGTAGTCCACTAAAACCATGCTATCTTCCACAGATACGCGGATGTTCCCATATGTCCAACAGCCCTGGTCCGGCCAGTACTGAGCACACTTACACTGAAAAAGAAAAAACAACCCAATATGGTCATGGTCAATATGGGTCCAATTAAAATGCTAGTAAAGTCCACCTTGGGTCATTTAAGTCAGCCCCAATGTACTGATCCTTCAATGATGGTACTACTGATTTAAGGGGTGGAGTTTGAAGGAGGATCACCTCTTTCCTCTCCTTCAGGTTGGTCACCATCACTATCGTGGCTGTGTTCTGCTCCCAGATCATCCTCCAGTAGTCATTTACTGTCTCCTCCTTGGGCCCTGGTGAAATTAGAGTGACACAAATATCGACTTATAAATTATGCTAAATTCAGTTGAATAATTTTGCTGCAGCAAAGAGACGGGCGTTACCTTGAGCTGCAATAAACTTGTTCTTCTCCTGGTAACCCTGTGGGAAAAAAACATATCTGAGACAAAGTTCATTACTTGGAAAATAGATAGAAACTTTTTGGGTATTAACAAACATTTATAAAGGAGGCGTTGATGAAGTCAGAGTCGGGGACTCCCTCTAGTGGTGAGAGGTGAACCCTTGAGTGATCATCTATGAGAGAGGGAGAGACAGAAAGATATGGAGGTGTAATGGAGAAAATGAGTAACAGCATGTTGTTTTATTACGTTAGCGCATTACAACATTTTGAAGCAACAAATAATAGAAACTTTACTCTTAACTCTTGACTGAGCACTAGAGGGCAGGCTTCAGAAACAGAGTTGTTTTGGTTGGGTTAAAAAAAAAAAGCTTTCAAGGTGTGCCCCACAGCTTCAAGTTATTCCCAACACCAATAAATGATACCACAGTGATACAACTGAGGTTTATGCAAAAAGATACAGTGTTAAATACGTAAATAAACTCACAGCTGAGTATTATTATATAACCGGGATTTACAAAAAATGCCATTTAACAGTGTTACCAATAATAGTGTTGTGGCATTGCTGTGTTTCCACTCTTATCTTCTCTGTCCTGTTATACTTTTATTTCTCTAAATGGGATCATAAACTGATTACAAACCGATATCAGGGTTAGGATGGGATATTACTTATCTATATCTTATAATAATAATTTGTACAGATTGTATAATAAATCAGTAAAGCACTTCCTGTACAACTTCATTTTTGCACTTAGGTAAATCAGTGAATCATTTTTGGCCTCAGGCTTTGGCCACAAGTGAGTGAACTGTTCATGTTCTGGTTTCTGTTATGACTCACATGGCAGGATGTTAACATATCTGTTCTTTTCTTTATTCTCATCCTTGGACGCAGCGTCACATGACGCCTGTATGGGGCAGACTGGCAGTGCCTAGAAGCAGGAGACAAATCAAGGAGAAGAGCAGACAGATGTAAATCATTCAAATGTTCACATGATCTTTTTATCTGCTGCGTAAGCAACACAAACGAGGGAAAGGTTAGGTTTTAAATTCTCATGTTAAAATTGTTTGTCTTTTTTAAAATAAACATTGTAATTTTTAATGGTTTGGGAAAAAAACATGAAAAGTGACTTTAGTTTAGATTAGATATATAATGGAAGAGCTCAGCCTTCCACTTCACCTTTAGGACAAAAAAATAAACCTGACTTTTAACAGAGAAGAAAAAAACAAGCTGACACTATAAAAGTCACTGGAGCCTCTGTGTCATAGTCACACATGAAACTTCCACCATGCCACAGATTTTTCCACTCACTAACATGTGACATTTTTGGAAGTGTCTTTGTCTGTCTAATTGACTCATGCACCATAATATATAGGAGGCCACAGACCGTCTCTGTCTGTTGATGTTTGACTAAATATGTCTTCACACTGGCCTTGGTACTGTTGGACTGTATGATTCTGTCAGGTTAAGGCTTTTTAAGGCCTCTCCTGTTGGTCATTCAGCACCACTGTCTCTGTAGGCTGCTGACTAAGTCTTGACATGTTCTACAGGCACGTGAGCCTCATCCTCTGTGGTTCATTCTGCGAGCATGTGTGTGAGAGTGACGTACATTGAACTCTTCTCTGAAGAGTTTGTTGTCATCCGCCATGCGACGGTTCATTTCTTCCTCCAGCTTGTCAACAGCCAGAGGTGGGTACTTTCTGTTTGTGCTGGGCGACCGGGCCAGGAGCGGCACACTCTGGAGTTCTTCTCCAGACAGGCAGCAGGGCAGCAGAGAAGTAAAGAAAGAAGAAAGATAAGTCAAACCCAGGCTGAGAAATGCAACAGTTTGACAATAACTGCCTTTTTCGATCGCTCTCTTTTGTAAAGCTGTCCACCAGAGGGCACTGTGACACAATATTCAAAGAGCAGAAGCGGAAGTATACAGTAAGTGCAGTAGTGTGAATTAGGCAGTCGCAGTCAACGGAAGCCTCCTGTTAACACTGAGCCTGTCCAATGTTGAGTCAGGGGAGAAACATCTACTTCGGCCGAATGTCTAAAGTTAATTAACTCATAAAGATGACGCAAAACAAATGTTATGGTAGGTTTTACGAAATGTTTGTTCCGCTGTTGTCTTAGGCATTCTTTCATCACATCTTAACCTGAAACCTGTCTTCAGCCTTAGAGGGATGTTATGCTACGTTTGGACTGTATTTCCCATGTACTGTATGTATGAACTGGACAGGACAGTAAGTGGTTTTCAGGTTATTCAGTATGTATAAAGGTTCTTGTTAAATAATGTCATTTCGCACTTTGTTTATATTTTCAGTAACATGTTGCCCAACAATCCAAGGGTCTCATTGTGGATTTCCAGGTCTTTCAGGACTTCTGTTTCCATGGAATACGGTGGCCATTGAAATGGAAGTGAATGGGGAGTTATTATTGGACGATAGCATGTTCTTAAATTAAGCCTCACAACGAAACAAAGTCAGTGACATCTTCAAAAGATGCGATGACGGCGACTTTCATCTTCGACCCCGTTGTCAACTGGATGTGGTGTCAAAACAATGATCACTCTCCTGCTCACACATCAGACCATTTTCTCTTTTCCTTGAAATGAACATCATGTTCTAACAGAAATATCTGGTACTCCCACATGGGAGTGTTAGGAACATGTTTGACTGACAAGTAGACTTGGATACAAATCCAGACTTCTTAAATCAACTAAACACTTTTGGTACTTTTTTAAGGCTCAGTTCTTTAACCACAGATCAGTGCATTGATTATGTACATAATGACTAAGGTAAGGTAACGTAAGGGCTGTTTCTAAACTACATCTATTAATACCCATTTACTATTGAAGTCGCCCTGATTGTAAAGCTTTTTTCAAAGCCTCAAAAATTATCTTCCATCTCACTGAGGTCAAGTTTCAGGTCTATTGAACACTGACGAAACATTTGACCCTAAAAACATCAATGTTGAAACTAACACACTTTCAATGATATTATGATTGAAAGAACCTTCATGATAACAATGTAGAGTTGTATCATTGATATTTATATCAATTCATAGTAAGTATAATTTCAGGTCAAAGCCCTACTAGGAGCAAAAGTTAAAAATTAAGCAACAAACTCCGTACATCACACCAGTCTGTTTTGTTTCCTTTCACACAGACACAAACAGCCTGGTTTTCATGAGGCGTGTTCTTCACATAGACATGATGCAACACAATGCATTCCATAACCCTTTACCTTGACCTCAACCATTGCAACTGTATGCCTTATGTTAAGCCTTGACCCAAACTTAACCAGCCCTAATTATCATCTTAACTCCAAACTAAATCTTAAATCTAAAAATATCTTTTGTCCCAGTGGAGAGCTGAAAACATGTTCCCGGCAACAAAGCATTTTACCAAAATAGTCACTCTGACTCACAGAGGAATGATTTTCTTGCAAAAGCAGTTCTTACTAAATATTGAAATTTAATTGAAAACTCCTGTCATTATGAAATTAAAGTGTAATAAAAATGACACTAGCATAGCATCACATCTTACCTGTATCATCCGATCTCCCGTTGGACAGTCTGAAGGAGTTCGAGTGACTTCCTGCCTGCTTGTACTTCTTGAACCTGACAATCAACATGCAAGCGAAATTTTAAAAACATAAATTCAAAGCTCGTCAACAACATCTTGTATTTTGGGCGAGAGTATGTGACCAACCTGAGCATGTAGAGGATGATGATGATGAAGATGATGACCAGCAGGGAGGACAGCCCCACCATCACAGTTATGATTGGCATGTCATCTGCCGGGTCTTTGCCCATGTCTGAGAAACAGGTAAAGGTAAAAGTAGAATATTTGATGTTCATTCTGTTGTCTACACAATCATGGCTCTTTTTTTTTTTTTTTTAATATTATGTCAATTTAACTCAGAGTAGTAACCTTGAATTATAATAAGGATCAAGTTAACATTACTACAGTGAATATATCAGAACGATTTTGAAGTGTGATATTAAATGATCAAATTAGATTCAATATAAATCTACTCAAAATGAATTAGGCTTCTATTGGGTTTGTGTCCAAAGCTTTAATCCCCAGACTGGTTAGTGAGGTAACGGGAGACTTGGTAGAACTTGATCAGATTGACAGTGTCATAAAAATGTCATTATCATATAGATGAATTCCTTCTCAATATTATGGGCTTCAAATGTGTTAATACTTCCATGTAGCCGTCTAACATAATAAAATATAAGTGAGAACTTGGGCTGCTATCTTAAATGCTAATGAGCAATTCTTAGCCATTCAAAATAAGTTGTTTCAAGAATTGTTATTGTTTTTATACAAAAGACAAATCAATGCTTTATCTAGGTTTAAATGGCAGTAAAGGTGTGAGTAAGATCTTTATTTTTAAAAATACACTGACAGTGATTTTTGCCTTTTAAACACCAGCCTCCCTCTGTTTCTTATTTTAGTGGCTGTGTCCACATTAATAATTCAGAGAGTGTAAAAAACAACCGGAAAAGCAAATGAACAATGCATCTGTGCGGAGCAGACCAATCACAGTTTAACCAAAATGTCCACGTTCTCCTTCCATATCTGGCAGAACCAGTGGGAGGCAGCAGCCCGAGAGTTAATGCGTGAAAGACAGGACACTTAAAAAGGCACTGGCTTTGAATTAAAAATGAATTATTCAAAGTTTAAATCCTAAACACTCTCAGTGGTGAGTCTGTGTTCAGCTATGCTTTACAGGAAAAACTAAATATTACACAGGTCAAGTTATCTATTTGTGGAAATACATCCTTTAGATTACAATGGCTGACCAATTTACACACGTTTTCACATTGTGTGCAGTGGTCAATGGTTAAAAGCAATCCTGTGTGGTCAACTGCTGACCTTTCCTCCCCTACCTGTACCAAAGACACCACAAACTCCACTGCATCATTTGCACGTGTGTGATTTCATGCCCTGTTCCAGAGACTTTTTAGTGTTCCTCCACATGCCTGCTGCTCTGAGCTACATACACACCTCAGCCAGACCTCAGATAAACCTGACAGACCAATCAGCATCAACAAGAACTGCACACAAGGTCCACGGAGACAGAGGACAACAATGGAGCGATGACGCCCCACCTACACACCAGCAGTCCTTATGTTATGTAACAGACGCCACGCTGTGCAATGTGACCACATCTGTTGCTCTCATGTTGATGACCACAGCATCAAGAGTTTCCTAAGGAAGAACAACACTCGGCTAAGACACAGACTTAGTCTGTGTGTTTTGGAGGGCAACACCTGCTGATCTTAGTCGATGCCCAAATTAGACACTACAATAGCAAAAACTGTTTAGCTTACTGCTAACATCTGTACGCCTCTGGTTAGATAAAAAAGGACTCCCCTACTTCTAGTGTAGTAGTGTGTCTAAGTTATTACATACATGTTTAGTATTGTTTATCACATTAAGAAGACTGCAGACATGCACAAACACTGACCCCTAGTAGTGGTGTCTGAGGGGAAAACCACTCCCGGCTCTGTGGTGCTCTCCGTCTCAATTGTGAGGATATCCTCATATGAATAGGCCTCTGTGGTCACTTTATCTGGTGTGGATGTTGTTGTGCTGCTGCTGCTGCTGTTTCCCCCTCCCTCCACCTCTGGTCCGGTGCTCGGTGGTGCCTCAGTGCCTTCTGGGCTCGGGGGAGCAGGGATAGGTAAGACCCGTATGGCAGGATCCGGGTTCACAGGCTCCGCACCTCCCATATCACCTGGGCTGGTAGGTGTCGTGGCAGCGGTGGTTGTCACTGGCACAGGGATGACCACAGAGGGGCCAGCTGTGGGGGGGTCTGGGGGCACCACTGCTGGTGCTATTGTCAGGTTCAGGGAGGGTGCAACAGCTGGGTCTGTGGGTGTGGTGATGTTTGGAGGACCTAAAAAAATGACATCAGTCAGAGAAAATGTTCTGGAATGGTCTATGCTAAGTGAATGGAAAAAGGAAATTAAGGTGGATTAGATGGATCACAACAGAAATGGTTTCTTTTTGCTATAATACAGACTACAGTGGTTTGAGAGACAGACAGACAGACAGATAGACAGACAGACAGACAGACAGACAGACAAATCGTACTTGTGACAGGAGCATGATCCTGGGCTGAGGCCTTGAGGGCAAGAGCTAGCAGCATGAGCAGGGGACACACCCCCATTCTGCCCTACATGGACAAATGAAGAGAAGGAAGCAGATAAGGATGAGTCCATGAAACCATTTCTTAAAATTGCACTCACGTCATTCAGAAAAATACAATAAATGAAATTGTTTTTTGGGCATTTGAAAACCAGCCACATAAATTTACAAGATAAATTCTTTGGCACATGTCAGACTTGTTACCTGAAAAAACGAAGTTGGCATCAGTCACTCATTCGAACAGCGTAGTCCTGAAAACAAAGAAGGGACAGATTTAAAGGATGCTAGTTGTTTATAATGTGCACAGAAGAGACAATAAAACAGAACTGTTGACAGTGCATGTACCGTACATCTAACAAAAAAACCTAATGACAGAATTTGTGATAGAATTATTATTAATTTGTTTCAAAAGTTAAGAAAGTGTTTAAATTTAAGATAACAGGATGTCTGTTACTGCAACGTTACGTCAGGTGACACACACGGTCGAACACGTTTTTTATTAGATAAAAAATTCACTGACTGTGAATCAGCAATATGAGCTGACGACAGCAGACGACAAAATTAGAGTAAGCATCAAATGCACAGTTCAGCAGCCTGGGAGGGTTGTCAGCTCTGACTAAACTGTGATAATCCCTTCCTAATCCCGATGCTCTGAACCTGAATTTCATTCCAACTGTCCGCCTACCTGGTCTTGGCACAGACATACACAGCTCTAACCTCAATCTTTATGAAGTAGCGACCCAGTAACGACAAGCAAGGCTAAGTTTCGAGTCACATACAGAACCTACACCGCTGATTCGTACAAAAGTTTTGCTAACGTTGTGGCCATCAACCGGGCTACAATGACTGTCCATGTCTGTGTAAACTATCTTCAAAAGAGTCAGTCCTCGATTTATGCAGCGTCATCATGGACAACCTGACTGTGTTAAGGGACGACAGGTTGGACGCTGCAGTTAAGAAGAACAGGGAGCAGCTGAAGGACATAGACCTATCCAGTGAAGTGGGCTATAGAACCCCCAGCCAAAAGTGTCTGTAGTCAGATGGGCGGAGGAGGCAAAGCTGGAAAACTTTTGTCTGCTCCACAGGAAAGACGAGGCTTGGGGAGGAGATGGGTCAAAGGGCCGGCTGCTCCACCTCCTGGACCTGATCCAGGATCAGAGGAGTGAACCGTCAGGGAAGAGTAGCTCCCCATCTGGAAGGTGCCTCGTAGGCTTACCTTAAGTCAAAGTGAGGTTGCAAATTTTCTCATCCTCACACAGGAAGTGATATGGCGACACAGCTAGAACGGCATCGCGCTGCTGTTTCAGGAGTCGGAGAGACGGAGGCTACAGGAACAGACGTATTGATTTCACTAAACTTTGATCTCTGATTTTGCTACATTTCCAACTGAAGAGTGACTCCAGTTTTCTACAGGCCGTACAGGGACGCCTCCATGTCACATGTGCCATTGTGTTGTTTAAACTGATATTAGGTCATCCAGTTGCTAACCATTACAGATGCTATTGTTGTTAGAGCTCATGCACTTTCATCTAGAGACTGTGCACACCCAACTCCCTGTAGACACATGCTAATGTCTTTTGGGCTCCTCGGAGCAGCAGGCTTCCTGTGTGCCTTTTTTTTTAGATTTATTTGGTGCTTGTGGAGGTTATCATTAATTCACAAGACACTGCTTTATTTTGGTGCCATTTTTAGGTTTTCTGTCATCAGTGGATTTTTTTTGGTTTTCTACACTGACCATTATTACTAAATAACTGTTTGTTGAATTTTATATACAAAATCCAGACCATTAAGTCTGCCATGTTGTCAACAACCAGGTTTGGACAAATATTACACATGTATAATTAGGATAATTAATATTATATATATAATATTCTGATATCTACCGTGCAATCCGTGATCTCCAGACAATGAAACAAAACCTTAGCCTTAGTTCTACCTTTGTACTTAAAAATCCAATTACACTGACGTGGTGTATACACTGTAAAGACAAGAAAAGGCTCAGGTCTGCCGTCTGTCTACTGCAGGCAGCTTTGATTATGAATGACTCATCAACTGGAAGTGGAGAAAAAAATACCCCAGAATAGAATATTGATTCATTTTAATGCTTCATCTTGTGCTACTGTATGTTCAAGGAATTTGTTACAGATTTTCTTAATAAAATATAAGCATTTTAACTTTTTTTTCCTTTTTTCTGTATCTTATAAAGGCAATGTCCTCAAGGGTTACTTTTGAGCACCTCTGTACCACAGGAATGGGAACAGATTCTAATTGAGAAATAGCACCCCCTAGTATCATTCTGTGAAGGTCTCCCCCCCCCCCCCCCCACCAACCAAAGAAGAGCCGGGGGTGTTTCAACAACACCCCCCCCCCCCCCCCCAAAAGCAGCAGTATGAAGACGAGGTGTTTTCCAAATGACTAATCAGTCATTAAAATCAAAGAGGTTGTGACTGAACAGTTCACTTGCCCTCATCTGTATTTTTTTCTTATTATTTTGCATGTACAAACACATTACTTTGCTCTTCTGTTTGATTTGGAAATTCAAACGTAACAGGTTTAAAATGACATCTAGAGAAAAAAACCCCAGGAAAGGTGGTTCACGTTTTTCTTTATCATGAATAACAAAGAATGTCTGTAGTTACATTAAAAAGAAGTATTTTTTCATTCCTGATACAAATGGACTCTTGACACTTCAGTGGTCTCAATCATTCACACTATGGAAATATTTCCCTCCGTCTCCCACTGAAAGATCTCGCCTCAAGAGTCACTGCAGAGCCAGATAATGCTTTTCTGTCCGTCTCCATTTATGGCATATTAATTCAGTTCCTATGACTCTCGACGGAGGGAGGGAGAAGGAAAAGCAGAAGGAAGGAGGGAGGAAGAGGAGGACAGAAAACAGGAATACAGTGAACGCCTGTCTTTACGGCAGCTGAAGAAAGGCCTAACTCCGGGCCTCCACGACTCCTGCTCTCAAACAGACCACAGATTATATGTCCCCTGCACCACATACAATCCACAACTCGTGGACTTCACTTACTGAAGGACGCTATTCCCGCGGCTGCGGTTTGCGTTCCGGACTTCATTTATGAGCTGCCAAGTTGACAAAAAGGCCGGCTAAATCATGCAGGCAAAAGTGACCACCGCGTCTGTCATTGAACCCGTAATGAAGATTCGGTTCCATTGGGTTGGACGAATCAACAAAACTTTTTTTTGATGGGGGAGAATGTGGCGGGTGAGGAAATCTCTGCTCCATCTGCTTCACTGTGGGGTTTCTCACGCGGCATGCCAGAGGCCTCCGGGCTTTCCCACAAGAGACATGAGGAGGATGTGGAGGCGCAAAGCTAGGCCTCCCCACAGAAGCCACTGTGACCTTTAGGCATGATGTGGGGCAAGAGAGCAGCAGTAGGGCCACAGCCAAATCCAACTGACTGTCACCTCAGTAGATACAAACAGGTTCAGAACTATAAATCCAGCTGACTGGTTCCCATCTATTTTAAAATGTTATTGAACAGTTTTATCCCTTTTTCTTGACAAAACTGAGATAATGACCAAACAATAGTTTTGTTTAGCGGTGAATCAGTCCTCAGTCCTGTCATTACATTAGCAGTAAGGCAATGCTTTTGTAGATACTGATTCTGGTTTTCAATACAATTTTTTTTAGTTGACAGTATATGAAGAACAATGCATTGCCTTTCATTTACTTATCTTGAAATTAAATGTCCAATAATCATAAAACGCCTTAAAAAGGTCCATCTGTGAGAAAGAAGAAACAACAAGAAGGTCTATGGACTGGTAACACATGAAGGCGGACAAGTGCTATTTCTGACCATAATGAGAAGTTTTTTTTAAAGAACAGACTGGACTGCCATCTTCACTCATCTTAAAAAGGTCCATCTGTGAGTAAGAAGAAACAACAAGAAGGTCTACGGACTGGTAACACAGTGCTATTTCTGACCATAATGACAAGTTTTTTTTAACGAACAGACTGGACTGCCATCTTCACTCACACTGACTTACAACTACAACAGAGTGCATCATAAGGAAAGGTGGGAAGTGCAAATGCAAGAGTCATTGGTTCACCCTGCTGTTACATATTATAAAAGTCTGTTTTGCTTTAAAGTGACAGAAGGGTCCAAAGTGTAACTTGGAAGAGTTTAATTTGACAAAAATCAATCAAAACTCCTTACAGAGCTGCTGTCACAGCCACAACTCACACACTCACTTCACTGACAGACACATCACAACAAGGACCTGGTGATGATTCAACCATTAACCCAACAGACCTAACCATTTAGACATAAAACTAATATAAAAGGCTGAGAGGTCCCCTCTAAGAACAACTTTGACCAAGATGAAGACCTGGTCGATTTTTCAGCCACATTAGTTTTAGAAAGACTCAAGGGGTTTTTTAAGTTAGTAAAAATTGTTTTAAGAAATGTTTTAACCTCATGTCTGTCATATCTTTCTGGCAGAGCTGTTTTCCCGACCACAGACAAAGCACATCCAGCTGACACACCCATTGTAACTACTGTACATTTACAAAGACAAATGGCCACTGTGAAGGGTCTCATATCTGGAGTGACCATCATCGTCCCCGCGTCTCCTCCTCTTCCTCCTAAAGATAAACACCAGACGGAGACACAATCTGAGGGTGAAGGCCACAGCTTTGTTCCAGCGGAGCTTCTTCATGAAGCCCTCTCTTTAATGTGTGCTTTTCTTAACTGCCCAGCAGGAAGGGCTTTTGTTGTAAAGATGCCAAATGTCAATGGCATCTCTGAATATTTAACATTAACACTTTGAAGTGTTCGGCAGCCAAAAAGACATTAGATTAAAGTTATTGTTGCATATTCTGACAAAGAAAATCAACTATATGAGATTTCCATTAACAAAGGAGAATGGTTTAGATTTTAAGGCATCAAATCACTGAGTGATTTCCACAATTTGCTTCAACCATTTAATAAATGGAGCTCTGTGGCAGTATGGAGGTTCAGTTAGAGCTGTCCTGTTGACAGACTTTAGGTCTGGGTTTAAGATAAAGTAGCTCTCTGTGACTCTTTATCAACTCAACCCTGTGTAACCACTTTAATGATTAGATTATTGACACTCACACCCACATTGTTTGCTTTATCTACATTAACACTGAGATGCTGATTTAAACATGGCTGGACCAGTTTAAACAACAAGAAAACATGTCAAGGAATCCAAACGTGATCACTGATATATGTTTAGTGAATGATTTGACAGACAGACTTGTGGTAATGTAAACCAAGACTTAATGTCAACCTTGTCATGGATAAATGTTTAAATATTAATTAATAACAGATAGGTGGATTTGGGAACTCTGGATGGGGTTAGTGATGCAAGATATTTCTTACTGAATTAAATATTAATTAATAACAGATAACTGGATGAGGTTAGTGATGCAAGATATTTCTTACTGTTCTGCACCTTATGATTGCATAGTTTGGTTTGCGTTGCGCTTAACTGTAGTACAGGTATAATATTTTCTGAGGGTTTTCAATCGATTAACCGTAGCGCCCTAATATCACAAATCATTTCATCTCTAGTCCAAGTTCAAACTTTTTTAAGTTATAAGTTTCGTGGGTAGTGAGAGAAAACATTAGCTCAAGCATGTTAGCGTGAGCTCCCTCTACTGTTCACTCACACTGACAGAATGTGCAAAAAGATCAGTTTAAAAACTGACCGACAGATTCCAATCACTGACCAGTCAATTTGTGGATCTCTACTTTTTGGAAAATGATTTACTTCCTTATTTCTTCTTAAACATTTTATAATGTTCTGTTAAATATATTTTTTGTTTATTACACATTTTATTAGAGAATGTATTAGAATGTCCAATGCATCAGGAAAAGAACCTGCAAACTCCTTCAAGCTCTAAGACTACCAATTAAAGCTAGGCCTTAAACAGTCATCTTCTTGCCACTAGACCAAAGCACTATTTACTATGCCGCTCTATGGTCTGATCCTGGATCACTCTACAATACCTCTCAATCAGGGACTGACTTCAGGCCAGAAGACCTTCCTAACAAGTACATTAAGATCCTTGTTCTCTGCTAGTTTAAACTAGTGAAACGAACCTCGGGTGTAGTTTAGCAAATATAATAACATGGACCAAATAAAACCAACTGATAGGAAGAAAGACTCACCAGACCTGGGGTGAAAACACGAGACATAGCAAAGCAAGTCATGGCAAAACAGAAACATGAACTGTCACAGCAGGAGGATGTTGAAAAGATTCCATAAAGATGAACTCCACATCCACTGAGAAGCAGAACAAAACTGGATCACGCTGCCCCACCATCAGGTTCTTTTATTTCTGAAATTGTAGTCGCCACATTGGTTAATTTCCTGTATTACCAAACAAAGGTCATTAGGACCAAATGACATATCAGATGGATCTGCAATCAGTCCCCACAACGCTTCCTAAACTTCTAAACATAGCCGTGTTCATCCCACTGCAGGCTGAATTACAGTGCACTTCTACATGTGGAAACAAAAATACACCTTTCCTCTCCACCCAAACAGCTTACTAATCATACTGTGTCAGCAGCATCAGGGAATGCACTGTAACATTTCAGAGCAAGGTGAGCAGCAATGCACACTTTAAAAAAGGACCATGAAAAAGCATTAACAATTTACAAGTTCTTACATTTATTTGAGGTCACAGGTGAGTGTGTTTGGCAGTTATGGGCCAAAATAAAATAAACCACAGGCTCAAACAGATGAAGCAGCAACAGCGGATACATTTGTCATCGTACCCATCCAGGGGGCAGGGGTGTCCTGATGCCTGCTCACACATTCCCCAGCCCTGCATTACCGTGCTGCTGGGATTCGAACCAGTAATCATTCGATTACAAGCCTGATTTTTGTAGCTTCAAAACACAGACACTGAGAACATATTCTGTTCGTTCTAAGTCACACAGAAGAACAAGAGGAGCTGGAAACGATATCAATAGAGATTCCAGGATTACAAGAGCGCTCTACTTACTAATACTAGCTGCTAAAGGAACTTAGTTTCTACCTAATGCTATGCAGTATCATCATGAGAAAATGATTAAAAAAAACTGGGTGGTTTAACAGCCTGTGAGGGTCAGAGTTCAACAGAACAGGCCTGACCTCCACTTGTCAGTTAAGCCTGTCGGGATAAAGAGCTCCAGTTGTTGATGATGATACACGCAAATAAAACAAAACAAACATAAACAAAAAAACAATGCTTGTTAATTTAGTAAGCAGATGGTTGGTTGTCCAAATCTCCCTAATGTCAACTGTCCTGAGACAGACACAGGAATCAACAGAAAACAATGTCCTGCAATGCAATGATCACTAATACCTATAACCAAATACAGCAGGCTATTGTCACACCAGTTCATCAGGGAGTTTATCACAAGCTCCTCATAAATCTCATATAGTCATTGTGCATTTAAAAAAAATCTGTTTAAAAATGTTTTCTGGCTAAACAAGTCAACTATGGAGCAACCTGAAGAAAATAAAATGAACAGTTCAATTATATTGGACAGATTAAACCTGTGCAGTCTGGTCCAACTCTTGAACAGTAGCTAAAGAAATGTGAATCAGAAAAAAAAGGCAGTCAGTGCATCTGTAGTTTATCTGACCACCACAAGATGGAAACGTCTTGGCTTCATTTAATATGACCCTGTATCCATCAGACAATCACAGAGACCTTCAAATGCTACTGATGATGATTCCATTAATGGTGCAATCAGCTGATGATTGTTGCTCAATCAATGAATGAATCACCAAGTCACTGAATTTCTGTTGGTTGGCAAGAAAACGATTGTTTACAGTAAGAAAATTGATCTCAAAGTAGTATTTTTGATGTGTAGCGACATGATATTTGGAATTTTATTGAACAGATTATATCTTCATCCACTCATTAATTAGCTAAAGGAAAAGCTCAGGGTTCCACCCAACAAAGGGCGTGAGAAGAATATTAACCATAAAAACTCTGGGTGACGTTGTTAGCAAAGAATGCAGTGTTTGGACCTGACACCACATCAAGTGGCAATCGAAATCCTGTTGTGGGTTTGATGAACCTGCACCCACCTCTGACACACCCTCTGTCCAACGCCCACTGAACATGTCATAACTTAACTTTCACATGGCAGGTTTCCTTTTAACTAATTAGTCCCATCTCTGAACCTGAGTAAAGAGCGGAGTGAATCATCGGGTCTGATATCTTGACACACTGCAGCAACTGAGGTGGGCAAGTCTTCAGGAAAGTTAACTGATCCAGCGCTGAAGGCACATCTGCTGATCCAGCAAAGTTCTTTTTGCATTCAGATCTTGGGGGAGTACAGGCTATTCGCCACTATGGGTGACTTGAGCTGATACTAAAAATCGGTAATGGTCTGATATTGGTCAATATTTCTGATGTTTTAGAACATCAAACAAAACAACTATAGCTCAGATAATCCCATACCTAAGTCAAGATGCTTAACATTTTTGCGCAACATGCCGCAAACAGTATCAGCAGACACTCAAGTTACAATTTGGGTATCAGACATGAAAAATTTGAATATCGAGGTAATCAAAATAAAAAATAATCAAACAAGGACCTGTAAGCTGTTGAGTCCAGGTTCATCCCTGGAGTTAGACCAAGTGGATGTAAAAGGTTGAATCAAACCCACAGATCCATGTTACCTGTTTATGGGAAACTATTCACCTCCTCAAAGAAACTCACCAATATTTATTTAAATCCAACAAAGCAGGACATCTGTCATCATACCCTTACAGGAAGTTCAGGACCACCTACTTGGGGCAAACCAGGAAGTTCTTGTTTAGTTGGACCTAAGTTCAAGTCAATTGACACTAACCAAGAAGCAACAACAGTATAAAGGTTCCAGAGCTGGGTCAAACCGTACTACCCAGTGTTACTGGGACCTAAACCTATGATCCCTAAATAAGTTGAGAAATGTGTCGGCGCAATATTAACAGATTTATCTATTTGTCATCATCCCATTAGCGGAAAATTCCCATCATTTACAATAGGTGGGCCTCCACCGCGTCATTCAAGGACCTCAACTTCCTGAATTGAAATGATCTTTTTAAGGAAATTTGTTAAGTAGGAAAAACATGATCCCTTTACTGTGGCATCGCTTCTGACTCCTGGTTGTTATCCCCATGTCACGGACACCGCGTCGCATATCACGGACTCGGATTTGTTAACACATCTCCTCTTTAAAGCCACTTTCTAAAAATATTCCCGTCAAAAAAGAAAACCCCTCCCTGCCTCCGAGCTACTTCTCAAGTCATCAGGACGGATCACTGTACTAAACATCACTGATTGTCTGCGTGGATGTCTCGGGCCACGGTGCGTGTTCGTGGGTGAAACAGGAGTGGGAACATAGCAGCATGTTTGCTGCTACAGCGACATTGTAACAAGTGGGAGAACCGACCGTGACAAAAACAAGAAAACTCACCTCAACTCCTGGATCTCCTGAAAAAGGGAGACCGGACCATGTAGTGGAGAAAAGAGGAGCAACTAAAGCAAAGGTTCGCTCTGGAATCCCCCCTTTTCTCTCCTGAGTGCTTCAAAGAATATGTTTCAGCGTCGGCCCCCAGACTCCACACCCCAGGAACCGAGATTGTGAGCGGAGTGGAGGGGAACACGATCCGGGACAAACGGTCAGCGCTTCCAGGGCAGTACGGTGAACAACATCCAGGCCCTGTGGTGGGTTTAAAATAAATCCTCTCTTCGCCTCAAATCCCCTTGTTCCTCATCGAAGACTCGTGTCTTCTTCTCCTGGATGTTAGTCCCACGGTTTATCCGCTGAATCCGAGCGCGTTAGCCAACTCCTCTAATCCGCCATGTTGTGCGTCTGTCTGCAGAGGAAGAATGGGAAGAGAAGAGCAGCAGAGAATTCCCAGACAAGGCCCAGATGATTCGCTGCTAACTTTCTGTGACCTATAGTGACACCTGCTGTCAAAGTTGAGCATTAAACCACCACAATTAAACAACTTATTTGGAGGCACCGTAAATTGTGTTGAATATGTCTTTGTTGAGGGTCTGGTAAAATATTAGTAGTGGTTTACAAGATATTTATTCTATGTTCATAATGTAATGCTGCTGATGCATTTCTGGTCAGATGCAGTCTGTATTTAGTTGACGTGTAATGGCTGTACAGACTGGGCTAGACTAATCTAATCCAAATCTATGTACAAATAGACAACTTCTGACGTTATTTTCACAATCATTTTATTTGTTCCGTAATTTTCCACATCTTTTGACCAACTTTTTTAAATTTTAAGACCTATCTTTATCTTCTCAAACATATTTCAGTAACTTTATGCAAACTGTAGCCATTTCTGGCATCTCTCTCTCTCTCTCTCTCTATATATATATATATATATACTGTATATGTCTTTAACACACACACAAGCCTTTGGACCTATTATTGCAAACTCCAGGTGTCAATAAGTCAAGTCAAGACAGCTTTTTATTGTATTTCCCAAATTCCCAAACATTTTTTTTGTGTGGAAGAATGTACATATATAGTCAATACTATACTGTAATTATATCAACAACACGAAGTACAGTACAATGTGCTCTGCAATTGGAACAAAAACAAGCAACAATGAAGAGAATGGTAAAACCTGGAAGTGAATAAATACATAGATAAATAAGGTGACATGTGTAACTATACACATCTAAATTCTTAATTTTTACTTTTTTTTAATCATGTCTTTTCTATCGACTTAAAAGAGAATAAAAACAGCAGTTTTATGATCTGAATGTACTGTAATGGAGGTGAAAAAGATGGAGGAGCTGTTCAACCAAATGTATACAATCAGTCAAGAGCTTGGTCTAGTGGAGGTAAATTAAAAAGTGTTGGTGAATATACGTCAGCAGTTGTCAGCTCTTCACACTCCAAGGTTGGCGATGACAGCCCGGGTGAACTCGTCACTGGTGGCATAGCCCCCCAGGTCTCCAGTACGCACCTGTTGCAAACATGAGGAGAGTGTTTGTTGTTTAGTGTGTGCACAGCTGCAGCCACAAGTGTGCACATGCACTATCAAAGCAAGTGTGTTCAGAATATGACATCAGGGTGCAGTATGGTGAAAACATGCACCACCACCATCCGGTCTGAAAGCCATCTGTGCTTATGTAAAAATGAGCCTGCAATTGGGAAAACACTTTTAACAGCACCTGTGAAACAGCTTTTTGGATCATCACATATGAATTCCAGTGAAATTCAATCAAATCCATTATAACCCATCCATTTACTACATTCAGTTTGCAATTATGCAAACCATTAACTTTCTTCTTGTATTATTACTGGTTCACTCTACGTCCGTTTCTAAGTTGATGGGGTTTTTTTTGTGCTTATGTTTTAACTAATACATTTGTTGCTAATTTGTTGAAATTATATTACATATGTTTCACCATCTTGACAATCGTATGGCGTGTTTTGGTTCAGTTTAAGCGGTGTTTAGATTTTTTTATTTAAATTAACTATTTCTCAGGCAAATTGCATTGAATATGCAAACAATATGCAATGACAGCCATCAATACATTTTGGAAATCTTTATGCATGTGGTTTTTCCACCTAGTACTGAATATCAACATCACATACAAAAAAATATGTTCAAAAGTCATTTATTTAAACAGGTGATACTTAAATTGCAAGTACCATGTATTTGCAGAATACGATTTAAGAACAACATGGGGTAAAACAAATCAGTCGTGACACTGGTGAGGGTAAATAGTAACAACAAAACCACCATTCACACCTCACATTGGAAAACACTTAACTAATAAATCAGAAATTTTAGTGTTTGTTCATATTATCCATTAGAAGAACTAAATAATGTCGACTTCCTATGTACTGCATGTATTCTAAAGCTTTCAGTACTGAGCTGCTGTCAGTGTGAGCACACCGTGAAAGAAGAAGGACCCGGGACGCACCCATACCAATATGTGCTACTCTGTTTAGATTAGTGACTGAAAAGCAGCAACTGAAATGTACTATTGGTGTAAAAGCTCTGCTCACTTTCTGTTCAGCTGGCTGTGTTCACTGTGCAGAAAGTTGGATTTTTTAAAAAAAGTGTTAGCTTGAAGACCTTTCATTTAATACAGAATATAAGTGTTTCGTTTTGGCTGTTCTTCTGTTATGTCCAACATTGTCCTCACTGTGTTTTGGGTTGACCTTGCGCCAACACTGCATATGATATTTCTCACAAAGTTACGCCAGTTTGACGAGTACACAAATGAAAAAACCTTATACTTTAATTAATTTTTTTTAATGGCACCACAACCATACTCTGCACAGTAGGTTCCTCCCTGAAATGTCCACTTTTATCCTGTTCACCTTCTACCATTTTATGCTGTTCAGTGTCCCAAAGGGAGATGGGAACAATCCCAAAGGTCCCAAAGGTCAGTAGGTGAAGGTAGATTGCACCCCAGACAGTACGACTTTTCATCACAGAACTACATGCAGAGACGAACAACCATTCACACAAATAGTCATAGTCATGGGAGATTTATACCAAATCTACATGATTATACCTAGACAAAAAAACTACCCAGATCGAGCGCTAACCACAAGTCCATCCAATATCCTACACTACACACAGCCATACTCAACATTTCTGTGTCTTGAGACAAGGTTGAAAAACAGTTTGGTTATTTCCATATAGTTCCTGTGGTTGGCAATGGAAGCAATTGCTGGTACTTGTTCTTGCACTGACGCCAAGAGGTAGTTTATAATGTGTGATCAACAGCAGCTTAACGGCAGAAATCTTTGGTAGACGCTCCCACACTTTTAGCACCGGCTGTGCTGTGAGAAGACAGTCAGACAGGGGCCAGTGTCACCTATGAAATCTTCTGTTTCTGACGTCTACACCATCTTTCAAACTATTTGCCTCTAAACCTCTTTAATACTCAACGTTTCCAACTGTAATCTGAAATTCACAAACAGCTTTCACTTCTAAGCTAGTTGTAGACAAACAAGCTACGACACATCACAACAGCATTGTTGATCAACTCCAATCAGTAAGGTCAATGTTTTTAATGTCTTTACTATTTGACATACATTGAGTGATCCTTGTCAGGTAACACCTTAAACCTGGTAACAGTTACAACAGCCTTTTTATTGGTGAAAAATACCTTTAAACCCCAACATTTTATCTCTAAGCTCTGCAGGAGTGGACACACATCACAGTCCATAAAACCTGACCTCTCATAAACATGACTTTAGTTCCTGTTCCACAATGACAGGATTATTAGGGTAGAACGCAGTACAGAGAGGGGGATGTGACGCAACATCTTAGTAAACAGATCGATGACGCAGGTTTTCCACAACAGCACGCACAAAGTCACCAGTGGTAGAATAACCGCCAAGGTCTCGTGTCCGTACCTGGGATGTACAGAGGTATAAACACAGACACATACAAACAAGGTTGATTATGGAAACACGACATTAGTCAAAAACAAAGGAAACATAAGGATGGGATGTTCATTTAAATCAAGTACGGTAGGTTAATTCGGCTTGAAATGAACAAAGATTCCTCATGTACAATGACACGTTTAGTGCCCGTGGCAAAAACATACAAATGTCCAAGCTCCAGTATCGGTATCAGACAGGAAAGATTTGTATCAAGCCGTTCTGAGTCAAAATGATTTTGATCAAAGGAGAGACTAACAAATTCAGCATTTCTGACAGTTCCCATTTCAGCCATGGAAATCAACGCACTTCATGCAAGTGTCTGTAAGTCAGTAGTCAGTTAGAGTTAATGAGTGGTTAGAGAAATAACATGAGAAATAGATGAGGGTTATAAAAAAGACCTAACATCACTGAGTGTATATACTGATATACAGTATATATAAACCTAAAAATCCCTTTTCTCGCAAACAGTATTTCATTCATCCAACTGAGAGAGACTTAAGAACCTGCAAAAACCATTTAAAAGACCACTACTGACAATATTGTGATTGCAAAGAAGACCGAGGGTCTTGAAGCAGTTATTGGCTTGTGTTGGTCAATGACACATCAGTGATTGACTTCATTCATACAGTTCAGTCTGAATGTTCTGGATCTGTTGAACAGTTGAATTTATGACAGGTTATGACTTCCTGTGTGATGTTAAGGTAACCTGTAGAATGTAGAATGGTGTGAAAATAATAATAACTGTTTTATTGATTTCTGAAGGAGTCGTATCCTTTCATATCTTACAGCAGACCCACACATAGAGGCAAAGACAAATCATTTCTTGTCTTGACTTCTCGAGGACATCTTCATACATTTAAAGTTAATTGTAGGAGAATTGATCAAAATAAGTTGCCATGCAGACTGAATATATGTTAGTGTTGATGTTAGAGTTAGGTTGTTAGTGCATGTTTCTACCAGTCAGCACAAGTTGATCATGTAAGTAAAACATGCGCACACTCACCTTGCCTTGCTTGATCACCCTCTTCACTGCATCTGACACCATTTGGGAGTGATATTCTAGACTGCAACACAATACAGGGGGCTATTTAGCCGTGTCCACATATGTCCACATTCAGACACACAAGCACTTGGTGCTTTCTGGTGACACCTAAAACAAGTTAAGCTGGTTGTAACTGTTTCTTTAAGGAATGGGGTTTTGACCTACCTGAGGTGTCTGAGCATGTTGGCTGCACTGAGCAGCATAGCTGTGGGGTTGGCAATGTTTCTTCCTACAGCTTGTGCAAAGGGGTGCCGTGCACCCTGAAAGAGACAAAAGACAACAGGCATGTTATATTGGTGTCATTTTCAAAACTGTATTAATGTGACCTTTGCTTAGCAGATTAGTGTCAAGATCAGAACGGGACTAGTACTTTACTTAAGCAGTAAACCTAGTCCTATTCCTCGGTTTTAGCAGCAGTGACCCTCAACCCCTGGTCTACTGACTAGACTGTATGCAAAGATATAATTCTTGCTTTAAGAAATTAATACTTTTTATGTCCTTTAAAAAAATCCTCGATTTATTATAAGTAATACAAAGTATGGAATATTTTTGAGTCATATTTCAGTGTCATTCACTATTCACTTCACCATCAATGGTCAATGGTTCCATCAGAAAAAAAGTATTACTTATTCAATTATTTGAGTTGATAAAGAGGCATTTATTCATGTAGCAGCTCAATCAATTCTATTTTTCAGAAATTGCTGGTTGAAAGACTACAAAACAGCAGCTTGAGACAGGAAATTGATGGCTTGAGGCCTTCATAATAAAAGACAATAAATCAGAAAAGAAGTATTTACAAGTATAGAGATAGTAGTATTATTGTTTCCCCTCAAGTCACAGGTTTTACATTAGGTTTTGGACTGAAAGGGCCACATTCATTTTCCACTTCCACTGACTGGCTCTGAAAATACCTACAAACAAGTGAGAACACTTACCGTCTCAAATACTGCATACTCTGCACTGTAGCTTTCACCCGGAACAACCCCCGCTCCTCCGACCAGTCCCGCTGCCAAGTTATCAATGATGTTACCGTACAGGTTTGGCATCACCAGCACATCAAACTGATAGGGGTTCTGCACCAACTGCAGCAATATAACAGACAAGCCAGACGTGTTTGTCAACTGAGAAAGCTGTTAAACTAACAGGAATAAAACATAGCATCACCTTTCCTCCTTATATTGAAAATATAAAATACAATTTAGTATTAAAACCCTGTAATCATAAAAAAAACCCCCGAAATCTAACATGCAAGGAGTGTCAAAAGCACAGAATACATATTTTATCTAAACATGTGTGTGTTAGGATGTATGTATTTACCTGCATACAGCAGTTATCAATAATTATGGTCTCATATTTGATTTTCGGGTACAGCTGTGCTATCTCTGCACAGCTCTGCAGAAACAGGCCATCACCTAATTTCCTGTAATGATACAAAAGATGAAATCCAGTTTAATTCAGGTCCAGATGTGGAGAGTGTTAGGAATAAAAAAAAAAGCACCAATTTTCTTACATGATGTTGGCTTTGTGAACAGCAGTGACCTTGTTCCGTCCCTTCTTAGTGGCGTAATCAAAGGCAAACTTGGCAATTCGCCGTGACTTCACTCTCGTGATGATTTTCAAACATTCAATCACACCTGTCACACTCTGAGGAGCAAGGGAAGCCACAAATATTTTTTAATTTAAATGTTTCATAATTTTTGTTTGTATTGTAAGGGTTTAACCTGAAAAATCCCACACACATGGAAGTATTCATTAACATTAACACAACCCATTGGTGAAAAGCAGTTGAAATAAAAGTTGTGACTATGTCTTTACCTCATGTTCCAAAGAGCTGTACTCTCCCTCAGTCTGTTCACGGATGATGACAAGGTCCAGATTGTTGTGCCGAGTGCTGTAGCCTGGAAGGCTGTTCACGTGGACCACATTAGCAAACAAGTCCAGTTTACGCCTGTGGAAAAATATTGAAAAAAGAAAAAAAGATATTGTTAAATTTGGAACAAATTTAAAGAGAACATTTCAAACACACCAACACACAATGCCTTGCATTACCTTAATCTCATTTCAAATGAAGCCAGTTCCCCTTTGAACTCCATGGGTGTGTGGATTTTTCCTAAACAGCCACATTTGTTTTTTTAAACACTTTATTTAACGCTTGTAAAAAATGTCATTTTTATATATTATTTTATTCATTTTTATGAAAATATTTAAATTATTATAATCCCATGCCCACCTTTCATTGCCACTCTATTGGTTTTCATAGAATTCAACACCTCATCCAGTTTCTCTTCAGTGGCCATGTTCTGCACCTCACTCAGGTGGAACTCCTCAAATTCCACTGGGACATCTCCTGCCTGAAGTAGAAATCAGTGACATGTGAGGGGGAAAATAAATGACTTCAAAAAGTTATACATTTTTTACATCAGGTTTTGTTTATGTGCAATGCTTTCACACTCAGCATGTTGACATTTAGCTGATCAGAATTCTACAAGATACTTCTCACAATATTTTATGTCATATTTTTTCCTCTAGTGCCTATAGTACGATTGCTAGTTTCAGATATTCATAGATATTCATTTCAGAGTTCATATTCAATAAGGTCATTTTAACTTTATAAACTACAATCCCTAGAATCTACTAAGAGGTATTTAAAAAAAAGATTAATTTATTTTAGAAAACAAACTACAGACTCATTTATTAACTGATGGTAACTAAGGGTTATGAAAAATGAGTTCCATTCAAACATACCTTAAAGACTTCCTTAACAGCAGTCATCAGCTCAGGTCCTACTCCATCCCCTGGCACCATCGTTACCTTGAAGGTGGCATCTGCACGGGCCGGCGCCGCCTCTGGGCCACAAACATTAGCAGATAAACTCAGAGGTCGAGAGGCCAGCTGCTGCCATTGAAGGCTGTAAAGGTCCTAAAAGACACAAGGAAAATACACTGACATTGCTGAAGGAGGGGGTTTCGAATCTGTTACTGAATAGGTGTCAGCACAAGATTAACGTGCAACTTATTCAAGTGACACATTATGAACTTTACAACTCATTATACTGTACATCATAACAAGAGTTAGACAATATGATGTACAGCTGAATATGCAGGTTAAGGATGTGAGATGTGTTCTCATCTTTTCACTTATAATATTAAACAAATAGAAAAATATGTACGTACCACTAAATACTAGAGCTTTCACAAAGAAAGCACAAAAAGCTAAGCTTTTCATAACAAACAATTGTCTCACGCGTTTCAGGTTTTGTCATTAATGTATGACAAAAATTAAGGATTATAGGTGTGTCATGTGTAAGAAAAGGTAACGGTCAAAAATACGAGGATGTTGAAACATAAATGGTTTAAATTAGCGAAGAAATTGCTCGACGTTAGCGGAATTGGGTAGAGATTAACTAAAGTCATGAAAAAAAAGTAATTTAATCATTCATTTTGGTACATTTGATGAAACAAAAGTAAATCTGTCATCACAACACACTATCTGAAGGTGAACGGAGTCAAGAGCTGGACCTTAACGATAGGGCGGGTTATCTGTAACGCGTAACAACCGCAAAACAAAACCCACCTAAGCGCAACAGGTGGAATGTTACCAAAAGCCGCCTTAACAAATCAGATAAAAACTGCACTCTCACCTTGACCACAGCTCCTAAACTTCTCCTGAAGACAGCCGCCATGACAGTTCCTATACCACAGTGACGTAGAGCACTGCGTCTGTAGTGCACGATGAACAACTGAAATAGTTACCATCAAGTCGCAGCGACCCCAGTAGGACGGAGGGGGAAATAGCAAAATGGTAGAAAGGCACCTAGAATTGAAGACTACAAATAACTTAAATATAATACACCCAAATCACTAAACCTATGAGCTTTGTCTTATTGTACAGCAATATAGCTACAATTAGCTACAATTAAACATTTTAAACAAACACAAAAATAAAAATATACTAGGTAAAAAATGGCTTGCCTCTATATCTATTAAAATCAGGGAAGAAACAAGCAAAAGTAAGCTAAAATAGGTCATTATTAAATTACAACAAATATAAACATAATACAATCTTTGTCCATTAGACAGAGCCACTCTTTCTAAACAATACATTAAAACACATCTTTTATATTGTAAAATATTATTTACAACTACCTTGGATTTTGTATTGTAATAAAAATATAAATGTGAGAGATTAGTTAACCTTACACAATCAAAGTAAACATTAGACATACTAAGACTTGTGTATACAGAAACCTTATCACTTCTAAAACTAGGTGCGTCCTTTTTGTTTCCTTCCTGCGTCTCTCTCCAATATACTGGAGACTGGGAAATGGTGCTGACTATCTCGTTCTGATCTGGTCTTTGGCTATCTCTGATCCGTATGCATGAGACCATTGTCAATCTAAAGGTCAAAATAATGTTTATCGGCGACAGGTAAAATACAATTACTTTTTTTATTTTATATTTATTGTTGCCCTCTAAAATCATTATAATATCCCATACATCCCCTGGAAAAATGATGTCCCCACCCCTGATGAGCAATTCATAAAGGCACGAAAACGACGGCGACTGATTGGCGTGCTCGTGAGCCTGTTAGACAAGAGTCAGGGTAAATGTTCTCCATTGGACGCAGTCAATAGAATGGTGGCATGTGAGTTGACTATATATGGACAAAGCCAGACAGCGAGGAACAGCTCTCGCTTCCGTGTTGGTGTATTCGGGGTGCACTGTCAGGGAAGCTCCACATTCTTAACTCTTCTTTATTTTTTTTCATCGTTGGGCGATTTAAAGAAGATCAGCGGACAACTATGGCACTCGAACCCAGTAAGTCTTATAATTTAAATATAAAATGTTATCGACAGAAAAGAAACATTACTTCAGCTGCTGCTGAAACTGTTAGCTTGTAAACGTAGCCTCACCCATACAGACCTGCATGATTATGAGACTTCGTTTCATACAAATGTAAAAAGAAACAACATTGAACACCGTTGGTGTTCGAGCTAACACCGTAGCGTCACTCCTTTTTTTAAACTATATATCATCATAATTGTTCTTCACATACCAAAAGGAATCACGTTTGTTATGAAGGCTTTTCCTTGATAGTTAGCATAACCGAGCGCTAACGTAAGGCAGGGGAAATAGTTCTGCTGACATCACTTTGTTATGACATGTTCAGACAGGAACAGCTGTAGGAAAAATGGCAAAAAGAACTGCGGCAGTTTATTATCATATAGAAGGAGTCAAGTGGTTATGTTTTGAACAAATATGCTTTAATTGGTTATTTAAGAGCTAATGCGGAAGTAATTGCCCCAACCTTTTAAAGGCACGACATAACCACTATTTTGGTCTTTTATCTTACATCCCTGTACTTTTTTAACCTGTTATTGTGATACCTTGATTTAGCTCAGCTGTGGTATACATGTTTTTTAAGATCTATTTAATAACATACCTTCGAGTTTCAAAATGTATGTGAAATTTGTATTTCTCAGAGGGGTGGTTGAGCTGCAATGAAAGAAAAGCCTTTACAAGAATTTGAAAATAAATGTGAAAACCTTTAAAAAAAAAGGTTTTGAATGATTGTACTTTGAAAACCTTTTTTTAAAAAAAAAAGGTTTTGAATGATTGTACTTCAGTGACGTTTCCAGTTATTTCAACCAATATTTGAGTTTTACATTTTAACCTTACTCCAACACTGATTATTGACTGACAGCTACTGTAGAAATTATATAAGATATTATATAATGTACATGAAAGCAGCAACTTCTGCAATGTTAGTTGACAGCATTGCATCAGGAACCGTTTGCCGGACATCCTGTTGGGCAATTTAGGTGTAAATTAGCGTGTCCTCACATACTCGCACTGATTTTGAGAGATAAGATCCATTTATTTCTGTGGGTTGTAAAAAGTGTCTGTGTAACACATTAAACTCCTTATAAAGGTAAATCTCTAACTCGTATATAAGAGGGTGACACAAATTAGAAGTACACATGCATGTTTATTTGCAGGTGTTTCTGGTTTTAACATCAGATCAGTCCGACTGACCCATGTCGTCCATGTTGTATTGTCTGCATAGGAAAGTGTTCAAGTGTGTGTCAATTACTTATCCCACCACTTCTTCTTTCAGAGAGCATATTTGCCGGGCTTCCACAGATGACGAGGGGAACCTCAAAGGTTATCGGAGGTGATCCTAAAGGCAACAACTTCCTGTACACAAATGGAAAATGCGTCATCATCAGGAACATTGATGTAATAATTATCTTTTTTTTTTCCTTTTGTGATAGTTTGAATCCAGCTGTGTGTTCATGTATCTCTGACCTATGTATTCACAATACACAAGAAAAAAAATGTTGTTTGCAGTTATGTTTACTTTCATTAAAGTTAGTGAGCTTGCCCTCTTTTTTTAAATCTACTGTCACATGTATATGTACAGTTAAGGACAAAATACTACTAATTATTTCTATTTTTTCATAGTACTTTAATACAGATCAAGATTTTTAAATTTAACAAAAAATTCCCTACATCCTTGATATGAACCTTATTTTTCTCTCTTCTTCTAATGTGTCGTTGAACCAAGCATAAGTCTGTGGGAAGTACCCACAAAAACTCTAGAACGCAGTCTGGAATTGTATCACATTGAAAAACTGGAGTGAAAAAGATTGGGCTAAAACACCTATTGGTACTGGTAACAATAGTTGACACTATAGGCTAAAACACCTAACTGAAAAGCTATGTGTAAAACAGGTCAAACTGGACATGCTTGCAGTGTCAGCTTTTATGTTTTACTGCCAGTGCTGTAGGGACATTAAGAATGTTACCTCGACCAAAACAAGCTTCTAAAGTCTGTCTTTTTGTCCCGCAGAACCCAGCTATCGCGGACATCTACACCGAACATGCACACACGGTTACCGTTGCCAAGTATGCTCCCAGTGGATACTACATTGCATCCGGAGGTAAACAGCCGTGTTTAGTTAAAACCCAAATCATTATGCCAGCAAATACAAGAGTGTCTGATTTTCTTTTAATCCAAAAATGAGTGAGAATGAATAACTTATTTGCCTGTAATGATTTTAAGGTAAAGCCAAGCATTTTTGGTGTTGTTACCATTTTCTTTGCAATATTTAATAGTATCATATTGTTACTATTTCCAAACCAACAGATGTAACTGGAAAGATTCGTATCTGGGACACCACTCAGAAGGAGCACATACTGAAGAACGAGTACACCCCTATTTCAGGCACCATTAAGGACATTGCATGGACAGAAGACAGCAAGAGAATCGCTGTTGTTGGTGATGGGCGAGAGAAGTGAGTAATAACACAAATTAATACCTAAAATGTTGGAAGACTGGTTTGATCACAAAGTGTTCGACAGTTTTTACACTTCTTCATTTTATTAAGTCGCAAACATCAGGAGTGAGTGAATTCTGAAGGGAGCCTCTTCAGTTGCCAAAATCACTTAAGTCCTGTTTATCTTTTTGGTAAACAAAATTAGACACTTTTTTTTTTTTTTTTTTTTTTGTAGATTTTATGGCCCAACCCTTCTCTCCTCTCAGATGTAACACAGACTGCAGCTAATGGGCACTGTTCTCCATCTTTAGGTTTGGAGCTGTGTTCCTCTTTGACACTGGTTCCTCCGTGGGTGAGATTAGTGGTCACTGCAAGTACCTCAACAGTGTGGACATAAAGCAGACTCGTCCTTACCGCCTGGCCACTGCCAGCGATGACACTTGCGGTGGCTTTTTCGAAGGACCTCCCTTTAAATTCAAGTTTACTTTACGTGTAAGTAGCTGTGTGTGTGTGTGTGTATATATGTGTGTTCTTTTTTTTAATGTCTTTATTTAATTTGTCCACAAGCTGGATTTTTGGAAATGTCGGCTTCCAGGACTGTAGATTAAATTAGTTCTCTCATTAGACAATATATATTGGTTTATTAATTTGAAAGAAGACAAGTGTCGACTGTCTGTTATGAATTAATTCAATTGCTCTGTGAATGTTTTGGCATGTCCTGGCTGCTAAAGACTGGAAGAGAAAAGAACTGATTGTGGTTTTTTTTTAATTATTGTTTTTTAAATTTTTATTACATCCTTTGCTTTCAGGATCACAGCCAGTTTGTCAACTGCGTACGCTTCTCTCCAGATGGAGGCCGTTTTGTCACAGCTGGTGCTGATGGTCAGGTTTGTATGAAGGATTGTCTAGAGACACATTAACTCCTTAATCACATTCGGATTGCATGGAGAAACAATCATGTCCATGTCTTCTTTTAATCAACTCCCACAGATGTTTATCTACGATGGAAAAACTGGTGAGCTTGTGAGTTCTCTGGGTGGAGACAAGGCTCATAATGGAGGGATATATGCTGTAAGTGAAGGTTTTTTTTTTTTTTTTTACTGTAAACCTGGATGAAAGGACGCACTAGTCTGTTCCCCTCTGGTCAGACTAACGTTTGGTTTCATGTGGCCCAAAACTAATTAAAATTAAGAAACATCATTAGGGTTAGAATTAGCAATGGCTTAATACAACTTTTTCATGTCAAACCGATACATTCTTTTCTCCTCCAGTATGCCACAAGCTGACGTTGCTGAGGCGATAGTGTCCATGTTTACAGCTAGGCCTGTGACGATAACGAATTGTGCTGGACCATATATTCTTCCACAAATTATTGCGATAATATTGTCAACATTTTAAGACCAAATTAACCACTAGTAAGGCATTTTAAGTCATTGCAGAATATATTGTTGACAAGGATAATTTGCATTTTTCTTTCTTTTTCGAATCCCTCCTCAGATCAGCTGGAGTCCTGACAGCACCCAACTGATCTCTGCTTCAGGAGATAAGACGGTGAAACTGTGGGATGTCGGGGCAGCTACAGCAGTTACCACCTTTAAAATGGGCACTGAGGTTTCCGACCAGCAGCTGGGCTGCCTGTGGCAGAAAGACCACCTGCTGGGCATCTCTCTGTCAGGATACATCAACTACCTGGACAAAAACAACCCAGATAGGCCAATACGCACAATCAAGGTCAGGTTTTTACATTGTTAAATTTACGTCGTAGATTGGTGCAAATACACAGGAAGTACATGTGTTTTAGACCGTGTGTCATTCTACAGGGTCACAGCAAATCTATTCAGTGTCTGACGGTGCATAAAAGTGACGGGCGATCATACATCTACTCTGGGAGTCACGATGGACACATCAATATCCTTTACAATCATGGATCAGTGATACCAGATACTGAGGACATGCTGTAGTTGGAAGTGATTGGATTTTTTTTTTTTTTAAGTGGTTGTGCACATAATCTTATTTAACTAAAAATGTGATCTGACTTTCTCTGAAGTTGGTTTATTTTTTAAAAAAGTTGTTTTTCATATTAAACTATCATGAAAATGGAATTTTAACGATAACATTTGTTATTTCTTAAGCTATAAATAGTTTGTCATTGTCTGCAGCAAAGTTTCTAGCTCTGCTAAATTTGATTTGATCACCTTTCCTTTGCATCAACAACTACAAAAGTCCATCAGTCAGTAGTTAATGCTGTCCTTAACTTAGACTGCACATTACTGGGATTCTGAAACAGGAGAGAACGACTGCTTCTCTGGTAAGGGTCACACCAACCTGGTGAGCAAGATGGTGGTTGGTGAGGAAGAAGAGCTGGTGACGTGCAGCATGGATGATACACTGCGCTACACCAGCATTGGCAAAAAGGAGTACAGGTAGAGCACTGTGATCTGATCCTGATGTGAACACACAATGACTGTGTAGTTGACGATACCTTTATGCCTGAGTCAGTTTGAACTGCAGTGGAATCAATCTAAATGTGGAGTCTATACTTTGGTTTCTCAGGTTATTGAATACTAATCCTGTGAATTACTTTTCTCTTTTGTGTCATCAGTGATGTGGTGAAGATGGAATCCCAGCCTCAAAGTGTGTCAGTAGCATCAGGAGGACTCTCATTGGCTGTGTGCATTGGAAGAGTAAGTCACTTTTACACAGTTGTCCCTTTAAATGATTCTTTAAATTTAACTTCTTTGCCAAAAATCTAAGACCATGTGTTTAACTTGCCTCTTTTCTACTTTTAGGTTGTTTTGCTGAAGAATAAGAAAGTTGTCTTTACATTAGAGAATCTTGACTATGAGCCGACTGTAGGCGTTCTCCACCCTGGGGGCAGCACTGCTGCTGTTGGAGGAAGTGTAAGTGTGCAAGAAACTTGTCCTGTCAAACATGAATCCAGTTGTCACAGTTAACACCTGGAGTTTGAAACTCCCTGATATGTTAAAAACAACTAAAGGTATTTTTCTATGTTCTACACAAGAAGTCACCAAATAAAACAACTAAAGGTATGTTCTACACAAGAAGTCACCAAATATATATTTGTCAGAGGACCACAGTTGTTTTGCACAGTCAGCTGGACACTCAAATAAAATATAACTGAAAAATTCACATTTTCTCTAACATTATCATTTGATGTTTACTTTGCAATCCAGTTGTGGGCCAGATTTGGCCCCCCAGGCCACCAGTTGATGGTCACTATTCTACACTTTAGCTTCTACTTCTTCTCTCACATACCGTCTCTGCTGTTGTGACATTCAGTTTATTTCTTTGTGGGACATGGATAGGTTTTCTTTTTCTTATTTTTTGTTTCCTTTGTCTCCACAGGATGGAAATATATACCTGTACTCTGTTCAGGGCAACACTCTGAAAGCTACGGAAAAACTGGCGCTGACTGGTCCAGTGATAGAGTTGGCCTACTCTAACGATGGAGCCTACTTGGCTGTCATTGATGAGAAGAAACTCGCCACGGTCTTTACTGTAGCAGATAACTACTCGGTAAACATTTGTTACTGCTCATATGTCAGGTTTTATCCAGAGATGTGGTGAAAAGTTGACCAGGATATAATTCCTTTTTCCTCCTAGGTTAAGAATATGTTTTACGGACACCATGCTAGACCTGTGTCCTTGGCCTGGTCACCTGACAACGAGCACTTCGCAACTGGTGGAATGGACATGTTGGTGTTCGTGTGGGCGGTCGGTGATGCAGACAATAGAATCAGGCTCCCAGGTAAGACGTGCATCATGTACGCCTCTTTAACCAGCATTCTGGACATAAACGACCTCAGGCGCGCCCATGTCATTCTGTTGGTGGTAGTCTACATATGAAATACAACATTTCAAATGATTGTTTGATCAAAGATGAGAAAGCGTTACTTTGAGTAGTTAAAAAAACAACAGTCAAAATACAAAGAAACATTTAGCCAAAAGGTGGTAAAAAATATTGTCCAGAACAAAAAAAATCAGCAATTTAAATAAATGATAATCTAAATAAAGATAAAATTAGAAAATTACATCTATAAATATTGCTGATGCACTACAAACAGTTAATCTCCCTTGTTGATTTACAACGGTGCTAATTGATTTTATCGCCTATCCTCGTGTGTGCAGACACTCACAGGTTGCACCACATCAGCAGCCTGGCTTGGATCAACGAGAACACGCTGGTAACCACCTCCCACGACGCCAGCATCAAGCAGTGGACTATTAAATACTGAGCTTCAAGCAGAACATCCACGTCTCCAAAGACAAAGACTACTGTAGAGCTCGATTCTTGTTCTCTTCTCATTTGCATTTTTTTTAACAGTACTTTAACAATCAAACCATGTGCTCCGTCTGAATTACAAATTCTACTAGACAAAAAAAGCTCCCAGCTAATATCAAGCAGCGCAAAATGCTTTTTGTGTGGCATCAGATGACCACATTTGACCACATTCACTGAAATGAAATGTACAGTGTAACAAACTTGTTTTGTTTGGGGCTGTCACTTTTTGTTCAAAACTTCCAGGTCTGTTCAAATCTGCATTGGAAATAAACAAGTTGATAACAGGGTTGAAACTTCAGGCTGTTTGAAGTAAGGGCGTTACCACCTGAAGCAGATGCTCAACACACTGAACTAACAGACCGAATGAGCAGAAAAAGCCATGAGTGACAGGATAACATTAGAAAGCCGGGGGACATTGTGTGCATTAACGACCGTGTCATGGTCAATCTGTTGGCACTTAGGTTTTGAAAAAAAAGTGACACCCTGGTACTTTTTCTGTTTTTCTACCTTACAGTCAGTCAAATATTTGAAACATTAACATTCCCGAGCTCTAAGCCTTCACTTCACTAAAGCGTTTGAGTGTTTAGGCTCAGTGGATGAAGCAAATGTGTTGGTGTTGTTTATTTTCTTTCAATCAAAATGATTATGTTTGAAAACAAAATGTATCCATTTGGTAACATTCCTAAAAATTGGTCCTAACCACAGATTTCTGTCCGTGTTTATTTGCCTGGGGTGGGTGTAAGGTTTGGAAAGACCTTACTTTTTATCTGATCTTCAGATCAGCTCAAACAGCGCACCAACCTGAGTTAGTTTCACTGAAATGAACAAATAATCAACCAACCAAAAGGCACATTGCTTTCTACTCGAATCAAGCAACTGGCCAACCATTCAGCCAATCTTGCAAAGTTGATGAAACAACAGATTTCATAATTGCAATATCAAAAAAATGACGCAACCCAAGACTTTACCAACGAACACACCACACAACCATCAAACATCTCATCGGACCAGTGATGTCATCATACCCTTCAAACACAAGTACCAGCTCAAATAATAAACCAGCAACCGACACAGAAGGTGCCATTAGGGATATGTTGTTTCTCAGGGAATTGAACCCAGGTCTCTCTGCTCTAAAAGCGTCCCATCTCTCAGGTAGATCTAGTCTGAACTTGCCCGTCCTAACTTACTGAGTAAACACTGATGCTGAGGCCCTGCTGCCCAGCCTAATCATCACAGCCAATAGGAATGGTGAAGAAGAACTTCAACTACAAGGTACCGGACCAATGGCAGGTCCATGTGTCATCAGTGGTGTAGAAACCACTATGTCTCTGTGATGCCTTCAACATTTGCCCAGATGATAAAGTCTAATCTACCTAGTGTCTTTATCAGACAATGATCTCTGCTGCTTCTTATGCAACAGTAGAAAACTTTGACTGATCTCACAGCTGACAGCTACAGGTTTCTGCCAAGAAAATAATTCAAATCAGTATTTTACAGGCACAAAGACGAGTCCTAAACCATTAGTATTCACTGAAACAACCGTGTCAGAGCTCAGACCTGCAGTATCCAGTAGAGAACTCAGGAGGCGCAGTGGAACAAGTCGTGTGAGATACTACGATCCACACCCTCCAGAGAACAAAACAAATAAACAATTCAAACGACAGAGGGCACATGCTTAAAGCATGATAAACCTGCCCAGTCCGTCTCTTTGGATTTCTGCACATGTCCTACAGGGGGTGCTACAGTCCGGTTTTTATTATCACTGAACAAACAACAAGCTGTTTACATTTGTTTAGACACACTTTAGGAGCCTCGTCAGGCCCTGCAGCTGTCATGGAGACGAGGTCTGCTCAGTACAACACAAAAGTATTAGAGGGAGTCATTTACATGTAGTAAATGAATCACTGCATACTTTCAGTTTTCCAACCTATAATACAAACACAGAGAAATATTGGCTTATTCTAAATAAGGTTACACTGCAGAAGACAAGCTTGTTTTTTGGTCTTTTTTTTAAGGAAAACATCCATCTTGTGGTTCATGCCTCACTTCTAGTAACACTCACTCTAGACTGTTCTGGACTGTTCTGGACTGACTGGACCAGTTCAGCTGGGGCAAAGGGTTTGTTTCCTAGGCAGGGGGAGAGGAAGGGGGGACATTTTTATTTATAACAACCACGACGGTCAGAAACATTTAATATCATTTATATTTGCTTCATAAACTAGAAGCACAAGAAGACTGATTAAAAAAAGGCAAAGTTACATAGACCCACCTACATCTTTAGGATTATACTGTTATTTAGAGTTTACAAAGGCATTGTGTCGCTTCCTTTCACTTCACATTTACATTCACATTCCAGTTTCTATTGTTGTTATGGTTTTATTAAGGTCACCTTTATTATGGCGTGTGAAAGTCGCTGTGTTTTTCAGTGACCGCGGTGGTTTATGATGAAGATGTAAGTGTGATCAGCCTGGAGGATGTTGGACAATAACAATCTGAAGTGACGTAACACAAACACACACATCCATGCGTACACATGAACTGTGGAGAGAGTTGGATAAAGTGAGAGGTCGCTGACTAAAGTGAAGAAACACTTTCATGTTCTTGTCCTTGTGTCGTCTTCTCTGTCTGTTCTTGTGATTCTGTTCTTACACTGTTCCTCAAAGAGTTCCAAATTTCCATTCTTATTTCTCAGTTACAGTTCTGTGCGTCTTTAATAACTTTTTGATTTTAAATTTGATGAAAGGATTTCTTTTTTACATCCCAAGCTGGTCATATAATTAGGAGCATTTGTTAATGTTTTATTTACATAGTGATTAAGTCTGCCTTATTTAGAAAAAAATCAAATGATTATCCTAAATATTAAGTATCCAGTGTCCATAAGTGTTTTGGCAAGGGAGTACATATTAATAACCTAAAAAATCTAAACCCCATTTCCAAATAAATCTCATTTTCTACAGCTGCAATAATAATTTAGTAATTGTCTTGGGTATTATTTGGTGAAAAAGATGACACTAAATATCCTTTTCCTTTTAAAAGTGTACTGAATGATGAGGATCTCTAATTACCTCCCTCCTGGCAGACCAGCCTCACACTGGGTCGACAGAGTCATGTTTTGTAGATTATGTAGGATAAGTCCTGCCAGTGTCACCAATAATCACCATTTAATTGAATACATTATAAAGATACAACATAAAATGTTCAAACGTGGTTTGTTTGTTTTTTTGCTTACGTTCCCTTATTCTGAATTTGATGTCTGTAACATGTTACAAAAACTTGAACAGTGCAACAAAATACAAAGAAAAGAAAAGGATCTCTCCGATGAGCTCACCTTGACCACCAACACCAGCTCTGTCATGGAGAAGTCGTCAGAGCCTTGAACACAGACACTTAGTCAGCCCCCCCCCCTCCCCTCCCCACACACCACACCAGCAGCACACAAATTAACTCCACCCCCGGCTGCACACATAATAGATTGTACCCACACACCCACACCCCTGCTGGACACAGATTTATGGACTGTGCCCAAACACACACCCACACCCCTGCTGGACACAGATTTATGGACTGTGCACAAACACACACCCACACCCACACACCCCCCCTACAGCCCTGCCACTCTGACCTTCTCACGCCCCGCCCCATGTACATACAATATAGACTGTGTCCTGCTTGCTCACACACTCACACCCATTCTCTTTGAAACCCCATGCCCCCAGCTGGGCCTCACTCTATCTCTCTCTCACACACACACACCCCCCCTACAGTCCTGCCACTCTGACCTTCTCACGCCCCGCCCCATGTACATACAATATAGACTGTGTCCTGCCTGCTCACACACTCACACCCATTCTCTTTGAAACCCCATGCCCCCAGCTGGGCCTCACTCTCTCTCTCTCTCTCTCTCTCTCACACACACACACCCCCCCTACAGTCCTGCCACTCTGACCTTCTCACGCCCCGCCCCATGTACATACAATATAGACTGTGTCCTGCCTGCTCACACACTCACACCCATTCTCTTTGAAACCCCATGCCCCCAGCTGGGCCTCCCTCTCTCTCTCTCTCTCACACACACACACCCCCCCTACAGCCCTGCCACTCTGACCTTCTCACGCCCCGCCCCATGTACATACAATATAGACTGTGTCCTGCTTGCTCACACACTCACACCCATTCTCTTTGAAACCCCATGCCCCCAGCTGGGCCTCACTCTCTCTCTCTCTCACACACACACACCCCCCCTACAGCCCTGCCACTCTGACCTTCTCACGCCCCGCCCCATGTACATACAATATAGACTGTGTCCTGCCTGCTCACACACTCACACCCATTCTCTTTGAACCCCCCTGCCCCCAGCTGGGCCTCACTCTATCTCTCTCTCACACACACACACCCCCCCTACAGCCCTGCCACTCTGACCTTCTCACGCCCCGCCCCATGTACATACAATATAGACTGTGTCCTGCTTGCTCACACACTCACACCCATTCTCTTTGAAACCCCATGCCCCCAGCTGGGCCTCCCTCTCTCTCTCTCTCTCTCTCTCACACACACACACCCCCCCTACAGCCCTGCCACTCTGACCTTCTCACGCCCCGCCCCATGTACATACAATATAGACTGTGTCCTGCTTGCTCACACACTCACACCCCTTCTCTTTGAACCCCCATGCCCCCAGCTGGGCGTCACTCTCTCTCTCTCTCACACACACACACCCCCCCTACAGTCCTGCCCCTCTGACCTTCTCACGCCCCGCCCCATGTACATACAATATAGACTGTGTCCTGCTTGCTCACACACTCACACCCATTCTCTTTGAACCCCCCTGCCCCCAGCTGGGCCTCACTCTATCTCTCTCTCACACACACACACCCCCCCTACAGCCCTGCCACTCTGACCTTCTCACGCCCCGCCCCATGTACATACAATATAGACTGTGTCCTGCTTGCTCACACACTCACACCCATTCTCTTTGAAACCCCATGCCCCCAGCTGGGCGTCACTCTCTCTCTCTCTCACACACACACACCCCCCCTACAGTCCTGCCACTCTGACCTTCTCACGCCCCGCCCCATGTACATACAATATAGACTGTGTCCTGCTTGCTCACACACTCACACCCATTCTCTTTGAAACCCCATGCCCCCAGCTGGGCCTCACTCTCTCTCTCTCTCACACACACACACACACAAACAAACAGAGACATCAACCAACCACCTTTTCAGCCTCACCAGTCTGCCTCAGTCAAAATGGACCGTCCTCAAAAACACCTGTCCTCGACACTTCTTAGGAGCCGCAAAAACACTCAACAAACAGCTTTTTGAATCCATTTCTGTACACCAATGAGAGAGACCGTCATATGTATCATGGAACTGTATCCAATTTCACTCAGGTAATCCTATAACTATTATTAGTTACTTTCTGCAAATAACTAGAGTTTCTACAGCTGTGCACCTATTTTTTGTTTTGTTTCTCATTGAGGTTTAGTGAAAAGGACCGGCCAGATTATCATCAGTGCAGTGTTCAAAAACCGTATCTGTAATTGTTATGTATTAAGGTTGAATTTAATCGAAGACCGCTCCTTTAAAACTTGAGAGCGTTAGCCCCTCCCCCATCTAACTCATGTACCGTTGGGGTCACTCGGTTCTTGCCGTGTCCATGTTACTTGTAAAGAGCCTCAGCGTTTTCACCGGCAACCTTGTTCCAGTCTTCCTTAATATAAAGCATGATTCACATCATGTTATTAAAAAGATATATCAGTAATATTATGGGGGGGTTGTTGCCCCTGCCATGGGTAACTGACACCTCTGTGCAGGCATCATTAATGCGTAATGGACATATAGTTTTTGGAGCAACGTGTGATGCTATATGAGCCACATCTTTCATGCGTTGCATAACATAGAAGATATGATCATCAAACTGCAGCTCTCGTGTCAAATACGTGTAATTATCACCTGTTTATGGTTAGTCAATGTCACTGTGCTGTGACCCTGATGAGTCATTGTTGGAACTGTGAGAACACCTTCTAGGTTGTACTGTATATGGTACGGACGATGAAACCAGTGAGTCACAACTTATGCAACATTTAACAACGTGCTGGAAAAAGAAGGTAAAGGAAGTGAGACTGAAGTAAGCATTCAGACTCTTGACACAGCAAGGCTGTAAATGGAGAAATAAGTACAAGTTGAAGCAGGTTTCCATGGAAGGCAGCAGCTGCAGAGGCAGAAGAACTAGTTTGCAAGAACACACGCAGCAGAGAAACAGTTTCCTGGAACTTCTCTATAAGAAAAGTAGGTTGGCAACATATATTTTAATGGGTTTCATCTGCAAAAACTGGACATTCACTTGGAGCGCCATGATTCAAAAGACTGAATGAAGAGGATGAAACATAAGTAGGTGGAATTCATTTAAATAGCTTTGTGCCACAAATGCCTCATGACTCGTTTGTCACAGTCACAAGATCATTTGCAATGCCAAATAAATAAAGCTGATTGACAACCTACGATCTCGTTGATAAACCTGACGGGTCTTAAAACTACAACATAAACTTTGGAGCAGTTGGAGAGGCCAGGGGAGAGGGACACACCCAAAACAAGTCCAAACAGAGGTAGAGGAGTACAAGTGGAAAACACCACACCTTTATTTTGGACTGTCTATACTGTGTGTTTGACAGGTACACGTTTATAAGTTTGGTTTGCAAAAGGCACAGGTGTAGAATTTAGCAAATAAACAATGTGGGCCAACAAACCAGTTGTTTGAGCTGTATTTTCCCATCAGAACGTAGGAGGAAAATTAAAAAAAAAAAAAATGCTATAAATTGTGCACTAATACTTTGTTTACTGCACATTTTGTTGTACCCCGTGTTACAATGACAATAAAGTCTATTCTATTAGACATCATGATGACTCACCGTGTCAGTCAGTGACTACATATAGTAATGTAAGTCAATATGTAATTACTTAATATGTATGTACAGTATAAAGAGTACTGGCTGAGTGAAGATGGTTACAGGCTTCATCTAACAGGAAGTGTTTACACAGTAAGGACGGTTAACGATTATATAAAATAGCTGTCGTTAAGTGTGCAGTATATCATAATGGGTTGTATGAGTAATAAAAGTATCAACATGAAAATATTAGTTTGAAAGAAATTGTCATCGAGTGTCTACAAAGACTTATTAATTACATTTACTGACAACTACTTGACTAATAAGAAGATGACAATTTTAAAAAGATAAATGAAGCAATAATCAGTTGGTTTATATTAAGACAATAAGACAGAAAAATCACCTAATTATATGATTATGCAGAAATGTAAAAATCCTGAATTAAAAAATTACCTAATTAAATGATTATGCAGAAATGTAAAAATCCTGGGTGTGGCAGGCAAGGAAGCTTTACTGTTCGTCTGTCTCTCACTGATTATACACACAATTCATGTCTGCAAATAAAGGCAGCGTGTGTGTACGTCTTTGAGAGAGTCACTGGAGTAACTTCCTGTGTTGCTACCTGACAGATCAGGTTTAACCTGCCTCTAGTGACTTTCTGAACCCACTCAGATAAACACACACACACACACACACACACACATAAAAACTTCAGTGTAACTTTGTCCCGTGGCTAAACTGTCCCATTGTGTATATTCTCTGGAAATGATGAAAGACATTTTAGTCATCATTGTCGTGGAAATGTGTGAGATGGTTTTACATAATAAAGACATAGCACTTGTTAGGCCAGATATAGTTTTTAAAAAGTGAAAGCTAAGATAAATAATATTTTAAAAAAAATTTAAAAAATAGAATTACACGCCAAAAATTGTTAATGCAAAAAGACTTTACAAAATTAAAATAAATGCTACACCTGCAGGTACGCAGGAGTAAATAACACCCTTTTTTTCTGAACTAAACAATGTTAAACTTAAATAACGTGTAAAACATTAGTGAAACTAAAACACATTTTGTGTTCAATGTCAATTCTTTAGATTTAAGTTTAGTTATTTACTCTAAACCCTGAGAGTTGTTTTTCTTTTTTACCAAAGGGCCCCCCTTTCCTCTGCTGCAAGCTCAGTAAACAAATTAATTGTTTACTAACCAAACCAATTCTATGTGAGTGAACAAAAAGAAACAGGGGACACATAAGTTAAGTCGGCAAAATCAAATTGCAACCTCAGGGATGCATAACGGACTGTTAAGTAGGCAAAATCAAATTGCAACCTCAGGGATGAGTTTAATTTTTACTGAAGTTTTAACTAAATTATTCTTTATCAAAATATATACACAAAAATTCTGGGCTAACGTTTTTTTTTCACCACACAAACAACTGTTTTAAGGGCTAGTTTTAAGTATTTGTTTTGCTCATTTTTGTACAAGTTCCGCATTTTCCGCGTGATTATTCGGTCAGACCACATACATCTTTAAATATGGCACCGAAACTCCTTGGATTTCCCATTTCACACGTCATGTGGTCACGTGAGTATGACGTGAGCAACGCACACGATGAGCCTTCACCGTGCTTGTGTTTGACAAGAAACTGTTTAGAAAATAATAAAAGCTAAAGTAATGTGAGTTAAATAACGTATTTATTTAATTATTATTTTATTATTTCTTTTTAGTAAAATAATTCTACATGTTTGCTGCGCAAGTTTAACATTATAGCAGTTTCAGCCAGATCGCAAAACATCTTTAAGTCTATTTCAAATCAGTGTGACCTAAATGAAGAAAAAAAAACGAAAAAATTTTTAAAATGACGAATTTCTACTATTCGTTCTAACATTCAAGGGAGTATAAAAAAAACTCGGGGTGCCTGTGGCTTAAGGCTCAATTCGAGATAAAAAAACAATTTCCCGCTGTGACGTCATATGTTGACCTCCAACAGTGACATACAGGGTAAGAAGGGGACGAGCGAGAGGCGGAGCTTGTTCTTGTTTGTGACCAATGAGAGGGCAGGTATCAACAGGTGAGACGCAAACATTCAGAGGAGCAGAGAACTGAAGGACGGAGGAGCTTCAGTTCAGACAGGCAGTATTTTGACATGACGGGAAGTACAGCAGCCTGGCCCATTCTGTCGCTGATCCGGATCATCTGAACCCGGATTTCATTCTCCAGTGTGACTGGGTTCGTTTATATTGTGTGTTTAGAATTTAAACCAGTTTCTTTTCTTGTGTTTTGTTCTGGTTGGTAATGCGGTTGTTCTCTGCACAGTTCCCCTCACTTTGTTCTATTTTATAACTTTTAACTTTTGAATGTTTCTAGAACGGAAAAAAACTTTTTCACTGCCCACGTCAGGACCGATAGACCGTTTCCCTCAGGAAGAGGTGGATTTGAAGAAGGACTTATCCCCTCCGGGAGTTTCGCTGCGTCGACGTTTCGCACCATGATCAGCTCAGAGGGCCTACGTCCGACGTCCAGCGGCGGCAGGAAGCCGCCTGGGAAGCTCGCTTCTCGGCTCGAGGAGGTGAAGAACCCGTGGAGACAGGTGTCCACGCTGGAGCTAAGCCACAACGAGGCGGCGCGCTTGGCTACGGACGCGCTCCTGGAACATGGGGAAAAGGAATACCGGCGGGTGCTGACAGAGGAGCGAGAGCTAAACTTCCTGTCTCCTCTGGAGATTCGATACATCACTCAGTACGCCGCTGCCAAGAACAACGGCTTCGAGAGCAACGGAACTGGAGCCGCTGCGGAGAAGGACTTTGGCGACGGTGACGCCGTGTCCGAGCTCACCTCTGGGACTTATTTCCCCATGATGTCTGACGAGGAGCCGCCGATGCTAGAGCTAGGCTGGCCGGAGTCACCGACCAGATACGGCCCCTCAGAGACCCAGATCTACTTCCAGAGGGACAAGAGCCACAACGTCAAAGACCTAATCAGGTCATTGATTAACAAAGCTAAGAAGGTAAGACAAAAATATAAAAATAAGTCCAGCTCATCATCATCACTAGCGTAGGCACAGTTAAACTAAGAATTGTTTTTTGTTTTGATATTTAGTCACAGTCTTAACACACAGGTTTCTCCAAGACCAGTCCATTTTTGTAGAAATTAATCGAACTTTCAATAAAAAACTAGAAAGGCTGTTCCTGTACTAAAACTTAGGGCTATCTTATATCTTCATAGATATCTACATTGCAAATATTTAACAGTCCGGACAAGTGCCATCATTGTCACTGTAACTGACTGTCAGTTAACTGTAGCAAACGTTTAGCTATTTGCATTTGTTTTCATTTTTTGCTTTAAGACATGTATTTGTATTGTTTGTTATATTATGTGTTATACAGTATATATTGTTATATTTCACTTTAATTGTTGGTTACCTCTGTGACTAACTTTTAGCTGTGTTCTTTGTCCACTTTAAGTTAGCCAATGGCTAGTTTAAACTATCTCTCAGGTTTGACCAACAACAAAAATAACAGCACACAGAAATGCAACCAAACACATTTTCATAAGTAGCTTTCAAGATTTACTTGGTTGTCATTGTTGCTTCTTGCAAAACATAACAACTGGGCTCCTATCTGGAGGTCCCACGTCTGTAAAAAAAAAAAAAGAAAAAAGAAAAGGCCAGAAATCATCCCTGACTAGCCTATATTCTGTGGCATCTGAGACACTACGTAATATATTTTCATTTCTCATTTTTTCCTTCCTTTGTATTTTGTTCTTGTTTTTCTCTTCGTGTATGTGATAGGCATGTTTTTTTTGTTGTTTAACTTCCGTGTTCTGTCGATATATATTGAGGAAATACAGCCGTCTTCCTTACTTTACAGCATGCTATTAGACCATCACCCACAGATAAGCTTGGGAGGTGTCTGAAAAATACTGATTAACCACATACAAAATATGAGTAATAAAATATGATTAACCTTTCCCATAATTAACCACAATTAAAAATCTTTGTTCATGTTTTCCACTGAAATTGTAAAACACGGCAGTAGTAATTAAAAAATACAAATGAGATAGAATAATTGCTTTACCCTTTTCTCACCAGCTGCCGGTTTCATCTGAATAGCATGTAGAACAAGTCAGAAAGGTTACATTTAAGTTATAATATTAATATATAAAAGAATAGTCTGTTTAGAAATCAGTTCAAGCACAGATTGACATTGTCTATTTTTGTAGTTTTTCTGGGTAATGTCCATTATTGGATCTATCGTTAGCGTTTAATCAAAGATGATACTTTGCACTTGTTATTTTTAAATTAGTAAACATTTTACAGAAGATTTTAGTCTAATTTATTAATAAACAAAAGTCGATCCACTGTAGATGGGGCAGCAACATATTGGAGAATGATGGTTATGCTATCTTTTCCTATAACCAGTTCAAATGTTCCTATCACCACAAATCCTTTTTTAAAAGAAGCCCACTAATTATCTCATAGACATGCATTCATGCAAAATTACTTCCAAAACCGACCCTGGTTTTGGATTTCTGGTCTTTTTGCGGGGGCTTCCCTGTCATCCAAACATACTGTAGCAAGGTGTCTGTTCATTTCTGATGTCATCAAAGCGTTCAGCTAACACATTTGTTAGGTCAGAGGCTTGAATTTATTTGTACAACAAAAACCCTAGTGATTTGTCAACATTTTTTCCTAAAACATTTGCTAGCCACAAATGTAACCACTGTTGGATACTGAACTGCCTCAATCCCATCATTCACCGATTGGACTATGCTGGAAACATTTAGTTGACTTCTCATTTATGATGCCAGTCTCTTGCTCAACCACATTCCAAAGGTGCTCTATTAAACAGAAATCTTGGCCATCGATTAGATAAAAGAACTGTTGCTCTCTTCTCTGAATCACTTCCTGCAAATCACTGAGAAGGTTGTGTGTGTGCGTGTAAATTCTTAGTAATTCAGAAATTTCTAAAATAATCTACACAACTTAACTTTTTTGGCAAATAGTCAACCCAGCAACCAAACCATGTTTAAAGTTACTTTGTTCTCCATTCTCATAGCCAGTTTGAGCTTCAGCTGTTGGTCTTGGCCATGAGGACATGGAGTGAATTGCAACATTTGGCTGATCAGATATTTGTGTTATAAACAGTTCATTAAGTGTACATAATAAGAGGTGAATGTGTACAGATACAGTTTTGTTATCAATGATAACCACATGTTGTTTTATTTTTAGAATTGACTCAAGAAAAGACAGAGTAGGACAGGTTCAGCTGGTTCTTAAGAATCTTTGCACTGGTTTCGAAATGCATCCAATTGTTTTCACTCTAGTTTTTTCTTTTTTTTTAATGACAGACTTTGTGGCGTGATAGTGTTTAACCAACCTCACACATCCAGACTCAGTCACTACTGTCACTGGAGCATGAAGAGCAGCTATAATGGGAGGGGTGGGAGATGGTAATGATAACTCTGAAGTTTATGTAACCAAAGATTTATGACTCTACAATTTAACAAGAAAAAAAAATGCCTTCAGAAACCACCACTCAGTTGATTCCAGCACTGAGTTTCATTCCTTTCTACATTATAAACAGTAAATGAGTGAGAATGGTTGCATCTGCCTTCATTGCTTTCATTTTACATCTTCAATGTGGACTTGGATCCATTCTCAGACACGTTAATCAACTGTTCTTCTACTGCTACCTTTTTTTTGTTAAGTGTATAATTTTTGACTGACATTTTTGGCTGTTTTTATTTGTCATCTAACTTTTTTTTTTTTTAAATACCAATTTAGCTGCCATTGTGCAATTGCACTTGATATGAATGCACTTTTATGTAGTAGTCATACAGAGAAAATTTTACAATCTGTCAGCAGGCCAGTAGGTCTGTCCTTTATTATTAATATAAACATGAGTGGGGGAAGTTTCTTTTATCATTGAAATCTGCTGAATAAACATTTTCATAATTTTGTAATTTATTATTTTAGTGAGATAAGTACACAGTCATAGGCATAAATGCAATGGTACTAATAATTAGCAAAATAATTTCTTTCATTGTTTCAGTTTTCATGTTGGTGCAAAGCGTTCAGTATTTTTGTCTACTTCCCTCATCTCCCTGACGATTCTTTGTCTTAGCTTTTTCTATGAGCTACCACTTCTATTACCTGTAATCATACAACACTTTCATTGCATGTGCATCTCCACCCAAAAATATATAATTTCTTTTGCACAATTACATACAGTATATGTAACACCTAATCCTCATATTTAATTTATTTACGTTACCATACATTGATTGAATTTTACAGTCTCTTGCTGAAGCTGTCAAAGTGGGAATAACCTTGACTCATTCAGAGTTTCCTGTGTGTGACAGCAAAGCCTGGCTCTTCCACTCACCAGTTCAGTTT